CCCTCCACACTTAGAGGACTTTGTTCAAAGCTCTGGAGAACATGGAGTTATAATAATGTCACTTGGGACTTTAATTGGCTCTCTACCACATGACCTCAGTGAGGAGATTGCAGCAGCCTTTGCCAAATTACCACAGAAAGTAATCTGGCGATACACAGGGGACAAGCCATCTACTCTGGGAAACAACACGTTACTCGTTGAATGGATGCCTCAGAATGACCTCCTTGGACATCCAAAGACTAAAGTTTTTGTAGCCCATGGAGGAACAAATGGTGTCCAAGAGGCAATGTATCACGGAGTCCCAATTTTAGGGCTGCCTCTAATTTTTGATCAGCCAGATAATCTGTTCAGAATTGAAGAAAGACAAGCAGGAAAGATAATAGATATCTTCACAATGAATAGGGATATATTTTATGAAAGTCTTCAGGAAGTTTTACATGAGCCATCTTACAGGAATAATATGCAAAGACTGTCCAGACTACACAGAGACCACGCAATGAACCCCCTGAACAACGCCATCTTCTGGATAGAGTTTGTCATGAGACACAAAGGAGCGGCTCACCTCAGAACAGAATCATACAAAATGCCCTGGTATTCCTACCACTCTGTAGATGTAATCTTCTTCTTAGGTGGAGTTTGTTTTTTAACTTTGATTTGCCTTGTTGCCCTCTTCCAAAGTTTATACAAAACATGTTTTACTAGAGTGAAAAGAAAAATGAATTAACATTACACCTAAAAACATTATTTGTTATTGATTTGTTATTATGTTTAGTTATACACTCTGACATAGTCAGATAGTTCCAATCACTAATACTGTGGAATATCTTTTGATATGAATAACTCAAGGCAACCGAAACAGTGAAATGCCTCCTGCTCCCTTCTGCTAGAGTGCCATTATCACATTTTAGAATCGGAAAATGTTTCAGCTATAACTGTAATAAGCATTAAACATCCCATGTGTATGAATGAGCAAACATCAGAGGTGAGATGTTAATGTATGGCCAGAAGCATGATAATATATGAGTAATATGTAAATTACATTTTCTTTGATACATTAAAACAACATAGCAATTACAAAATAATCACAACTAAACCCATTATCACATTAAAAACGTACTCAAACATTGTACTCAAAGTACCAAATAATAATAATAAAAATGTTTCATCAAATGTGTCCAAATTTGTAAGTAAATGTTAAACTCCAGAGCATGTGTCTTTAAATCTGATTATTGGACAAAAAAATCAGACCACTTACTCTTACTATCAGCATATATGTTTAAACACTGCAAACAAAAAAGTGTGGCACTAATTACATAATATTAGCTGCCAAGTTAAGAATACTTAACATGAACCAAAGTCACAACTGACTGCACTTACTGTGTAAATGTAAAAGTACATTAATACAATATAGAACATATCTAGTAAAAGCATAAAGTTCACTGAAATGTGGCTAGTGTGAGTTGAAGAATCAGGTTTCAAATGATTTTTTTTTCTAGTTTTTGTTCCACTGTCTTCACAAAAACTCTATAAAAACTTCATGATGTCATAAGACAAATGTTAATGCTTCATTTGATGGGTCTCTCTTATTTAAAAATGTCATGTTTATCTTGTTATAAATCATAACTAAAATAAAATTAAATGTTTTACATATGCATGTATAATGGATTCATTGCATTTAAACACATTGAAATTAAAGGTCTTTACCTAATCAACAATAATAACTAGACCAATAACTAGATGGATGTTTATGTAATTTCAGCAGCACAGGAAATTTTGATTGAGTATTACAGGGCACTTGTTCCATAAATGGCACTTGGTGGAATAAGAGTCTGTATTTACAAAGTTTTCATGTTGACAAATAGGATGCACACAGAAGATTTTCTCATGATGTTCTGGTGCGCACAGAGCTCATCCTTAGAACTGTGAGTTCTGCCACATCTGCATCCTGTAACTCCACTTCTTGCTGGCAGCTTTCTCGTATAACATACACTACGAGACCCACACAGATAAAAATAAGGAGGACTATGCCTATGACCTAGAAGATAAAAACAAAAAATGGAGGAAACCATAATTTTGCATTTAAAATTTGTAAATCAGTATCTTTAACTTTCCAAACAGTGTGTTATCTCACCTGAGAAAAAACAAAAAGTTGTTGTGAACGGAGCATCAGTTCTTGTGTGGTTACTTCTCCCTCACTTATTGGCTCACACCATTTCTGTGGAGCAGCTTTGTCTACTATTACAAATCTGCCCTCCCAGTCTGTCATAGCACAAGCAAAGTACTGGCCATCGAGGAACAACAGAATGAGCCATACAATCGCAGGAACAAAACTAGAAAGGGACACGGTTTTCCTGCACCATATGTCACACCTGCATCCTTGAATGATCAGCATCAGGGTGAAGGCCATGACGGCAGGAATGATGAAGAAGGCAGATGAAAACACTCCGTTCCATGTAGGATCGCAAGGACACTCAAACTCCAGCTCCACCAGCTTCTCTAGTCCCATCAGGATAAATCCAAACGCCACATTTGACACCAGTGGACTGTTGCTTAGTTCATTCTTCAGCCTGGTAAGCCATTGTTGTCTACTTTCCATACTAGATTGACTGGGAAATAAGGACAGTTGTTGTAAAAAGCCCAAAAGAGGGTCCAGCGTTGTGAACACATTGGCAACAGCTAAGTGATGCGTAAATAACCCATTCAGGGGTAAGTTTTCCCCTCGGGCCAAATGCCACACTTCCACTCTGATTGGTTTTGAACAAAAGAGGGAGTGCCGTACGCTCTGACCTTTCTGCAGCCCATTGGCCTGCACAGTGTTTCAGGTGGGGTTACATTTGAAATGTGGACAAACTGTAGGAAGACCTGCAGTGCAGAGGGAAGTTTGTTCTGAGGGTTAGCTCCTAATGACCTTTTATGCAAATGAGTGAGTGGGGGAAACACACAGGTTTCACACTGGTTGAAATGAGAGAAAGTAAAGCATGAAAAAACACTTAAGTCTCAACAAAATAAAATAATTATCATTTAAAGTAACTTTAATTAAAGAAAAAATACTTGGAGTCTTATGGAAGGGATGAAAGAAGAATAAAAATAAGTTATTCAGTTTGTGACCAGCTCAAGAGCTTATCCAAGATGCATAACTGAAGCTAGTTAATAAAATGATACAACACACTTTAATTTGCACAACAAAGTAAGAAAAGCAAAAATCAGCAATTTCACTTTGAATTACAAGCACTGTACTAATACTTTTCTGAGTTGCTTGCATTCATTATTTTACAAGCCAAATGGTCAACCATACAAAAACAATCAAATCAGTAATGAAGTTACTATACACTTATTTTACTCATAGTAGGAGTAGTGGTTTAAATATTTCTAGAAGGAATATAATAATATATTATGTAACTATGTATTTATATATTTATTCACTGTTTGTTTGGGACAGTGCATGTTAATGGGCTGACATCATACAACATGAATGTAAACAAATTAGATTATACCCAACATCAATGTTGTTCTAAAGAACCCACTTTAAATTGTTACAAAATCATTTATAGCAGAACATCTAAAAGCATTTACTGTAGAGGTGGATCTTTTAAATTAAATGTAAAAAAATAAATAAAATAAAAAATCCATATCTACAGTACATAAGCTTTAAAAAAGTTTAAAGCTCATTTACTTTTGTTGCCTTCTTGTATCCTTCTGAATTGGCGCGTATAATCATGAACAGATTCAAGTATTTCTATCACTGTAACCTCAATAATATCTTCATGCATTGTGAATCATAACTTTTTACGGTGGCTCTGTCAAATCTAAGCTTATGTAAAAAGTCCCAGTCCCAATGACTTGACATTATGTTTCTATATGCAGTCTTCCGATTAAAAAAAATTTGGACATCCCTGTGCTAGAGCAACATTACATGATTTAAAATGTATTATCACAAGCAGTCACTTGAGGGCGCCCACGTTTCAGCACCCACTGGCTCGATAGTGAGGATTAGAGGAGGCCATGTTGAACTTTCAAAGGGATGTGGTAGGCTACATACGGAACACCCAGGCCACTGATGTGATGACATAATTTATAAATGACCTCAAAGCGCTCAAGAGCATCACCATAATCTCCTCATATTAAACAATAGTATGTAAAAGCACACGAAAGCACACAAAAGCTTCTACAAACGGTTCTAAATCTAAAATGTCACCCTAAAACAAACACGTTAATGCAGCTTACATTCTAAATGTATTTATTTTTATAAAATTTTAACTCGTGTGGCTAAAATGCTAGCCTGCACCTAAGTACTATGGCTAAGAAAGTGTGGTTTTGCACATGTAATAAACGAGTGACGGCTAATTCTCACTAATGGTGCCGTAATGACTGTAGGCGTAGGCCTACTTGGATGCGCGTGAGACGCAGTCGTGAGCGCATAGCAGACGCAGCTCGTTGAGGCTGAGAGTGCAGTCGGTGCCCTACCAGCATCTGTTCCTTTTTTGCCCTCAAAAATAGATCGGTGCTGATAACTGCCTCATGTTATAGCTACATCACTTCCCGTCGAGGCAAATGTGTGCGCTACTTTCATTTTAATCAGAGCCAGTGACCGGAGGTGGTGGAGGCTCAAATGCGCATCGTTCTGCGCATCTTTGAATCTTTAGAACTGCACTCTGGACAATCTCCCTGACATCCGAGGACCTTTCTCCTCCACTATCCGACGAGGCTTTCCTACACCTATGGCTGGACACCACCAGGAGGACTTTAATAACATTGCTTTAACATATCCCTACTTTTGAGAAAACCCGATAATATGCTGGGCCCGTTTCTCTAGATCACCACACGATCTTGCCTCCCATATTCGTCCGAGCGAGACCCCGGTGCACAGCAAGCCGTGACGATGCGTTCGAACGCACAGATGCTGGCCCTGGTGGTCTGCCTGATGCTGCCATTCGTCTCGGCGCAAAATGGTAAGTTTTAAACCCAGTGAATGTGTTAGGTCCAAAGCTTCGCTATGTGGCTGACAAGTGTCCGCGGAGGATATAGCCGATCTCCAGAGGATGATTGACTACTCACTATTTACCTAGGCTACAGGTCTGTACAAATGTACTGCCTCGTACGTTTGCTGGCAGTGCTGTCACAGTCATTTTCAAGGGGGTGTTATCTACACGGGTGTAGCAAGGTTATTCTCTCATAACCGTCAAGTGCACCTGGAATTCAAAGCATGATTTAATTTAATGACGTTACCATCAGTTACTTTCGGGTGCAGCTTGGGTGTGTAGTTTGTTTGTTTAGGCGAGGCAGCAGCAGCAGAGTGTAAAGCTCTACTCCTGAGGCTGATAGCCTTGTATTAACACCACCATTCAGCCAGTGCTAAATGCTGCACTCCTCCTGCCCTCCTCAGTTGTGCAGCCCAGACTCCTGTTTGATTGACAAACTACCTCCCTGTAATACACCACACATTGCAGTCATCGAACACAAACTACGCTGTGAGCTCGTGTTGGTCTTGTTTTAGGTGTGATTTTATTATGCTCTGACCAAATGTTCCCTCTTTCAGCACTTTTAGTGTTTCTCTCAGTTTTGCATGTTAGCTGTCAAGACAAGTTATGATTCAGAGTTGGATCAAATTTCTCCCAATCAATGTTTAATCACATCATACACCATCTTATAACTATAACACTACTTCCAATACTGACTTGGTTTCGTTTACCTGAATGTCAAGTTGTGGGGGAATAAATGTTGCTAGAAAGCTCATATGCACCTTTAAGAAACCTATCAAGAAATTCAGGTAATTTGACTAAATTTATGAATGAATAAATAACAATAAAATCCTGTAAAATGGATAGGTTGGGGGATATTATGGCAATCCATGATAAATAATTTTGTATCATAGATCAAATACTCAGTATTATACATTTGCATATCTCCCATATAAATTTGTGATTACACTTACAGATAATTATTACAACCACAACAAAGAAGATTCAAATTGGCACAGCCCCTAAACATAAAGAACCTTTCATAGAAAGCCCAGAACTGAAATTCCTCAGCAGTTACATAACACACTATTGTCTGTAAAATCTTTCAGCTTCTTTGCTTACGTCTTTGAGGGATTTAAATTGTGTTACAAGCCAGTCTCTGACTATGCTAGCCAGAAAACTTGATTCCAAATAAGATCTTTTTTTTTTTTTTTTTTTTTTCCCTAGCAGAGGTATCTCAAACTCACTCCACTCTCAGTGGATTTTCTCTTGGTCACCATTATAAGAATAGGTAGGTTTAAAAAAAACAACAATCAAAATACAGTAGCTGCTGTTAACTCACGTAGGTCAAACCTGACAAACTGGAAAATCATAGTTTTGTGTTCCAGTCCACAAAACGTGAATGCAGACGATTAAAGGTGTATGGGATTTCACCCAATCACAGATTCACCAGTAATACTGTATTACAGTTGGGATATGACGTGAGGAGAATTATATTTATAAGTGTGTGAGATAAAATCACTGTCAGGAAAAGCATAGGGGTTTTTGTGCTATTTTTCCTAGTAGTATAGTAGTATACCTACCTACTACTACTGTAAAGGTAGCAGGAGTGTGAAATTTGGTAGACTGTAAATAGCTCCCATCCATTCTGCCTCGATTCTATTTTTAACAGCGAGACACAGCCCAGAGAACTGTGGCTTTAAGGTCCTTTTGTGAAAGTGAATGCATTAACTCTTAATGGATGGCCTCCTGTGCACAGCCACATTCTCTGTATTCAACAAAACAGTGATGATTTAGACTTAAAACCAAAAAACTCAACATGTTAAAAAAAAAAGATGTACAAGGTAGTGAAAACAAATTTTTGCATATTCCATAATCTTTCGAGTAGAAATAGCCAGTGCAGTTCTGTTACTTCATACTGTGAGTATGTTGCTACTCAGAAAATTGCCAAAATGGTACAGTCAGGATAAAATGTAGCAGAGTTATAGCTATAGTTTAAACATATAATACTGACATTATAATAATTCAAGCTGCTCCATGGAATTACGCCTTGTTCAGTTTTGACTTGCTGTCTAGGCATTGGACTGTAGGTACATTTGTGATTCTGGAAATGGCTCTAGGACTGGAGCCAGCTATTACACTGAGTCATGGTTGCACACTGTGAAATCAGATATGGACCTCATTGATTGAACAGGAGCATCACATACACATTGCCCGTTCCTTAAGGACAGCTGTAAGGGAAGCAATTTTAATGAGGATGTGTCTCACAAAGTTTTTTTTTTTTTTGCTGAGAATGCGTATTAAATTTATTACAGCACACCCCACACCCTAGCACACTGCCATTGCTAAGAGATTTTCAGTCTCCTCTTGTACTAACTGTGGAATTAGATAGCTGAGTAAACAACCAAACAGTTAATTAGACACTTTTTACCCTGTTGGTTGTCATTAAACATTTCCAGAATTGGGCGTAACTGGGCCTGTGTGCAAACTTTTGACTTTCGTCGTATAGTCAAGTTTACATTATTTTCCATGATTACTTGTTATTGATTACAATGTGTCAAGCTTGCCTGAAACATAGCGCTCAAATAAATACTGCATTCTTTTTATATTGGTTATATCATTTACATTGGGTATTATTTCACACTTCTTAACATTTGTACAGTTCTTACAATATAACAGAGTGAAGAACATTTAATGACTAGCAGTATGCATTGAAAATAAAAAGAATGAATTTATGATTTATTTAAAAGAAAACCTCCCGTTTTAGCATAGGGTTGTGCAGTAATTGCATTTTAATAGAACTGAGATTCATCTGTCAAAGATCATCTTAGATATTTTTAATCAGGAGTCAAATTTGTCAGTAAAAAGCATGTTGTTTGAAGCAGAAGAAAAAATCCTGACCATGTGTGAAATGGCAAAGGTACAAAGTAAAAGAAAAAGAGTTTTTGAAATCTACCAAACAAGATTTAGCTGTCTGGTTCACTCCACTATTCTGTATAGAATAAAGAAAGGAGGATTAAAAGATGAAATTGAAATTTTAAGCTTTTGCAACACCTCGCATCAGCTAGAGAAAATTATTTACCAGAGTAACTGGCCACCAATGTGTTATATAGATCACACACAACTGACACATTAGCAACTAATTACATTTATTGTGCATTTTTTAATGATTGACAACAAACCCTTGTCAGCAGCAGAAGTGCACAATAAATCAAACTATCAATATTAACATGGATGTTGCTTTGAAGTTATGTAGAATTTGAATATAAGTTATATTGCTAAAAAAAGACACCTCTCACATGTCTAATACTTAACTGGCAATTTGTAGCACATTTCTATTGGATTCCCAAAAAGTCAGATTATGAGTTTAAATATTCATTTATCATAACTCACCTTTCCATAACCATAACTCACTCGTCTTTCAATAAGGTGCTATAGTTTTAGTTTTATATAGTAAATAAGTAAGTTTTTCTTTATATTGCGCTTTTCACAGACATTTGTCACAAAGATGCTTTACAGAGCATTATTCATTCACTCCATACCCGGTGGTGGTAAATTACTATTGTAGCCACAGCTGCCCTGGGGCAGACTAACGAAAGCGATGCTGCCAATCTGTCGGCCCCTCTGACCACCACCAACACTGACGCACACACCACTTTCATAATAGACAATGTGGATGGAGTGTCTTGCCTAAGAACACAACAATAGTTTTTATGACCCACTGTGGCACCTGATTTTCATAGTGGTCTCCCATCCAAGTACTAATCAGGCCCAGCATTGCTTAGCTTGTGAGATCTGATGGGATCAAGCTGGTATGGCCATATAGTGCACATTTTGTAAGTCTTTTCAATACAAACAAAAAAACAAATGTATAACTGACCAGCCCTACATTGAGCTGCCGCTTCCCTCACACACCCATCCAGTGGATTAAAAAGTAATCTGACTGACTGTACCTGATTCACCTGTTTTGCCAAGGACAGAATCATCCAATCTGTTACTATGATGTTTTATTGTGATGGGAAATTTGTTCAGAATCAAAAACCAGGAACTAACGTTTATCTTGAAAGTGAAGTAACGTTCTTGTTCTCTATTCTAATAACAATAGAATAGAGAACAACAGGCTGTTAACAGGCTGTAACATATTAACAGTTATTCAGATAACTATAGCATAAACATAAGTTTACCAAACTCTCCATCTCACTCCAAATCTGAGCAACTCTGTGACCTCCGGAGGTAAACAGAGCGCCACTTCCTCTTCTGCGTAGCTGTCGTCAAACTCAGCATCAGTTCCAGTTAGAATTATTCAGGCTTTTCTGAATCTCGACAGGTTCGTTTTGGTTGTCACTGAAGTCCAGGTTTTGCCAATCCATCCAGTGACTTCCAGGAAAGTTACATGATACACCTTCCTGGTTGTCACAAGTTTCATGCTCACTCCAGACTTTCTTTCTGCTACTTGATTATCGTTTTCGGCTGCATATTTTGTTACTTGCAGCTTGTAATCTGCAAAATATGATTTCCTTTTTGGTGGCATTTGTGTTTAGTCTTCTTAGCTGTCTTAATAAGTTTCTTTAAATTTAAAATTTTCAGTGGTACAGAAGTAATGGTGTGATTGACTGACAGGACACATACAGGAGACGTGCAGTAGAGTACGAAGTCACAGTGGTACAGGAGTAATAGTAGTAAAAGTAGGACACTGGCACACGAGACTAGAGTGCCCTCTAGCAGTTGCCAGTGGGGAAATTTTAATATATAAGTCGCACTGGAGTATAAGTTGCAGGACCACCCAAAAAAAAAAAAAAATGGAAAAAAAAAAGTGCAATTTATAGTCCAAAAAATACGATGATAGCTTACAATATAGCCTAAACAACAAATGTACCTTATGGAGAATTTATGCAATGGTTTGCCTTTGAATATTCCACAGCATGATAGCGCCACAGCAGGTGACACCCTCAGGCCAAGTTATAGGTCTCATTTTTGGAGAGATGACCCCACTCACAGATAAGATACATACATTCCCTCCATCAGAAAAGTTGAATAGTGCACCTTTAGGAACCACAGAGAATATATTAGCTCGCTGAATGCTTCCGTGATCTCTTTCTCAAGCACTGCTCATGCTTCAAGAACTAAACTCTTCATTACATTACATTACATTACATGACTGCCATATTGTCAATTGTTTTCTTAAAATCAATCTACAACATCATCTTGGCCAGAATCGAGAATGTGTCGGCCACATACATATTTATACGAATGCAAAGAAGAAATACACACACATATGCGCCTGAGTGACCCCAGGGAGTTCTCGATTGGCTGAGTGCTCTCTCTCTCTCTATGTTATGGGACTGTTCCAGGTTGTGGGCAGGCAGGAGGCTGACTCACTGTGAGGCTGCGTGGTGCTGGTTTGGTGGTGGTGGTGGTGGTAGTGTTGGTTGTGTGTCAGGGGAGTTCTCCTCTGCCTACATCAGGGAAGACTATGTGGGCTGTAATAACTGCCACTATACAGCTGTGAGACGAAGCTGTCACACCAAACTACAGGGTTGTATGGATAATTATGTGCAGTGTCAATGGAAAAAGCTGAGGATGAAGGCGGAATAATATGGTATTTTATGGTATTGTAAAACATGTAAGATATGATTTTATAGGCTATACAAAAGGTCCACTACATAACTTTTCAAAAATTCATTATATAAATATATTCTTATGCTTATTACTATTGCTTATAAAATGATAAGCAATAGTAATAAGCAAATAATATAATCAAGAAAATTATAGTGCTGCCACAGTTTTGTTTTGTTTAATGTGCTGACAAATTATACAGTCATAATGATGCAAGTACAGGTTAGATATGGGGAAAGGGGACTTCACTCACATGTCTGTTCTTGAAGGTATTTTTGAGCTGTAATGAAATAGATGCAGTATAAATATAATGCCATACTGCAAACAATTCAAAACAATGGCAAACCCAAAAAGTCACTAGTGCAGCTAAACATTACTTTGGTTCAGGACCAAGGTTCAACAGTATCCTTACTGATTATTCTCAAAAAGGCTTGATGATTGTTTTAGTTTGTCGGACCATTGTGAGACAGTGCCCTATCTCAGATCTTACTCCACAAGTGCTTCTAGTCTTTCCTAAAGAACATTTTCAGACTGCTGTTTGCCTACCTCAACGTTTACTCTGTGAAGAGTGCTCGTCTGTTGGTATTTCCTTTTCATAGCTGTGTACACTTCATGTTTGAGCAGCTTTTTGGTTGGTCTTGTTGGCCATGTGTCGTCTGCCATTTGTTTGCAGTGTCTTTCTCAAGCTTTCTCCTCCTTTTCTGAGGTTACATTTTCTGATAATTTTCTAGCTTGTTTTAAAATAACGGGCAATAGTACATTTTCATATAGCTTTAATTGTATAGGTGGATAGGCTTGGATTCATCCTCTGGGATTGTATGGAGAGCCTGATGAGCCCAGATGTTTGCAGAGAAAAGAAGCAAATGTTAATTATCTTGTATATCTCTAGGCATGGCGCATAGATGCACAAGTTAGTGGTGTATCCTAACCAGGGATCCAGGTTACAAGAGGACATGGCAATGAATAGTATTTCAATATAAATTTAGATATTTTTAAATGTTTTTAATGTTTTGGAGGTTTCTGGACATCAGTATCATTAAAACAAGAACATCTTGTATATACTGCACTAATACTAATAATACTAATACAGCAATACTACTAATACTAATAATAACTGCAGGTTAGTACTCTGAGTGTGAGACAAAGCTTAGGGGTTACTCAAAACAACAAAGGTTGGGATAATAACCCCTGTCCTATGACATGACTCTACCATGGAGACAGTTTTGCAGTGCTAAGTTTTCTTTACAGTTTTTATTAAATACTTCTAATTCATTTTCATATGGCTGTGAGTCACAAACTGGTGTTTTGGAACAGACTTGTTACCATGGCACTGACAAAATTCTTGCATTGTTCAGAATGTCAAAGTCTTCTGGTAAGACTGGCTCGAACAGCTCTGTGCTCTTTTGGTGCATAGGATGACAGGTGAATCTTAAATAAACAATTGCGTTTCATTCACATCCTAATTACTGGATATATCTTTGTACCCTCTTCATAAAATATTTTCACTTTTGTGTTTAATTTTACAACTTATTGACATTTTGTGCCATACTTAACTAAAACTACCACATTTGTAGGAATGTTTTCACACATTTCTTATTTATTGCCATTATACTGTTTAAAAAGTAAAAACAAAAACAACAAGGTATTCATTTTATCAAATGTGCCAGTCACAAGCATGGCAGAATGACAGGATGGGAACCCAGTATAAAGTTTATTCCAAATCAACATTAATATTTCAGAAGATAGAATTCAGTAAGTTTCAGGGAAGAAATAAGATGTACACTTCCAAAATAAACAAGAACAGGAAGTCAGTGACTTTTGGGACATTCATCCTTGCTTGTTATTCAAGCCTATTTTGTTCAGGCATGACTTAAGTGGGTTGGTATATATGGAACCCTCCACTTCCATAATTGCCCAATCAATAAATATCATTGAAATTTTTGATTTAATGAAAGATGAAATTTAAGGTTTTGGCAATATTTTGTGATTATAATGCATGTTGAGTGTATGGATAATACAGTATGAGTATGTAGTAACATTGTTATATGAACTCTGAAGTGAAGGCATTTGGTGCATAGGCCTCCATAGATTCATTCACATGTCATCACTTGGAGCAATTGGGATAGGAGGCTGTGTGTTAAACATATCCCACAGATAAACACTCAAGAGACCACTGGCTTTTTGTTCTCATTTCCCCTCAAACATTCTACAGCAGTGTTTTTGTGATTTATGGATGGGCGGGCAGTTTACAGCAGACAGAATGCAGGGGCAGCACAGAATGGCGAGCACAGTGCAGGTGATTTGTCAATAGATGAGGTTCCTTAAGGGTGGCAGTGTGTTTCTGGCTAACTACTGATGTGAAACAGGACATGAATCAGGCTCAGACATCACATTGTGTACTATAGTATAGATTCTCTATTATTATTGATCCTAGAGCATCACAGATTAGAGGGTTCTTTAGCCTCACATCAGATAAAGGTTGATATTAAAAATAAATCAGTGCAGCTAGTAACTGTATTGACTATTTATTCCACTGCCACCAATTGAGGATTTTCAGCTGCTCTTCAACTACAGCTTATCTCAAATTAAAGCTGGTTGACCTAATTCCAAAACAGCCCCCGCTGATATGGATAAAAAGGGATTATATTTATACAGGCATTCATACTATAGACAAGTCTACATGTACATTTACCCAATACCAATACATAGAGAGTGGATGATGAAAAATTAGTATCTGGATATTTTTGTGTGGTTATTACGATGATCATATTCAGACATTGTTACTGTGTGCTAAAACATATGTCTGACTTGGTTGTGGTTTAAATATCATTCAAAGCATAATACTGATGTCCAAATCCTAAAATTCTGAAACAAAAACACAATTGTGATTTTATATATATATTATATATTATAATTTATTTTTCATATATCTCTTGGTATGGTATCTATTATTTTAGCGCTGTATATTTATTAGAATAAATTATAAACATTATTGATCAGCAGAACTGCAATAATACTTGATGGCATATAAAGAGAAGGTGAAAAAAATTTTTACCGTTTTCAATCAAAATAAATAAATAAAAACAGCTTAAGAACACACTCTTCTTTGGGAGTTTCGGTTGACTATGACTTCCTTTCACTGTTGCATGGTCTAAACCTGGTGTGGAAACCTTGACATTACAGTACACATAGAGTATTTCATCTTTCATCATCTGCTCTGCACAGAGGGCTGAGTGGAGTGGACGATGACAGTGTATTAGCACTTCAGCTAACAATTCTAAGCTAACAAATAAATGAGCTTATCATGATCAAATGCTTGGAGGGTTTTACTTCTTGATGTAAGAGTGTGGCAAACATGCCTTAAGTAACTAAGCAACATATTGGGCCTTAGGGAAGAGATATAAAAAAAATGTAGGCCAAGTAATTATTTTTGCTATCTTTATATTTTATTACAATAAATAAATAAGTATGTTATCTTATCTATTCATGTAAACAGAATTAAGACCAGAACAAATCCACAGCAGTAGCCATCTATAATAAATTAAGCACCTTCACTAATTCTCTCCAATTTATTGTAGAAGGTCTCAATGAGATTCAGAATCTCTTTTACAGTCCTGGACAGAGAAGACCCTATTCTGCAAATCTTTCCAGACAAATGGAAAACATGCAAACTTTGCATAGAAATGCTATGCTTTGGCAATCAGGAGCTTTTCAGATGAGCTGGTTGGAATCACTGGTGCTGTGCATGTTTGTAAAGGGCTTGTGGGACTGTCACTAACCTCTTTGCTTCCTCTTTCAGTGATTCATTTTCACTTTTCTCTTTATTTTCATGTCTATTTTGATTCTATTTTTATATCTTTCTCTATTTCCTGTCCTTTTTCCACATCTCCTTTCTACCCTTTCCCTTCCCTCTCCAGCTGGTTTTGAGAAGTCGCCAATGTCCGAGACTAAGCTTACGGGGGACGCCTTTGAGCTGTACTGCAGTGTGGTTGGTAACCCAACACCGGAAATCCAGTGGTGGTACGCTGAAATCAACCGCGTAGACTCCTTCAAGCAGTTATGGGACGGAGCTAGGAAACGCCGGGTGACCATAAATACAGCGTATGGAGCCAATGGGGTCAGTGTGCTCGGGATCACGCGGCTGACACTGGAGGATTCTGGGACCTACGAGTGCCGAGCAAGTAACGACCCCAGACGGAATGACCTGCGACAAAACCCCGCCATCACGTGGATCCGTGCCCAGGCCACCATTTCAGTGCTACAAAGTGAGTGGTCAGTGCTCCAGGGCCTGCAGATAGGGAATGTCCACTCAGGCTGGTGGGCAACAGCCTCGACATAGCAGCCACAGTCCTTATCCCAGCTTTGTTATTTTCTTAAAATTTTTGATATAGTAGTAGTATAGAGTTGCAGTGTTGGCACTGGTCTTGCATGTTTTGTCTTTTCTTAAATATTTATTTCATATGCCATCTGTCTATTTTAATTCTTGCTCTTTCAGCTAAATGGTGGAAAGCCTTGTAGATTTTTGAAGTGTCCATAATTTATAATGTTTTACTCTACACTGTAGGAAGACACAGGTGTGCATTAATTTCCTTCCGCAACATATAATTAGTTACCCAGTCCACTAAAGGCAAGACAATTTTCTCTTTGCATAACCCTGTGTGTTCTGTGCCCTTAATTACGTATCACTAATGACATAATATCCTTAGCCCTCTGCTCAATGCATGCAGACATTTAAACAAATTAAATTTCAACCAGACCCAACTAATCTACACGCTTCAGTGCTTGGCCCACTGAAGCTCATATGTGGAATGTTGTTGGTCAATGTGAACCTTTCTGAGAAGTTAAGAGGAGTCTCATCCTCAGTGGTTCATTTGATTAGACTGAAATAATATGATATGAAGTGTTTCAGTTGGGATTGCATCGGTCACTTATGATGCAGTGTGGGATTTTCAGATCATAAATGATATACTGTTATTACTTACAAGTAAATGTAATTTACTTTTAAGTTCCAATCCACACATATACACATATTTGAATATTTGTTGTTGTTTGAAAATAACTGGCTACATGGTATTTGTCCTGATTATTTTTGGGAAAAATAAATAAATAAATATATATAAAAGAATACACCATCATAAAAAAAACCAACAACATTATTTTGTGTATGATTGTTTAGACTTAAACAATCATACACAATCTCTATATCAATATACTACATTTGTGGCTGTGGTTGTTTTTGTATATGCAATATCATACTATATCTCAAGGTCACATTGTATTAGTGCGTAGCAAGGGCTAAAAGTGGATAATTTCACTGAATCTTGATCATAAGTTTTATTTTTATACAAAAATTGAGTGTTACCTTCTTCTGACAGGTACGATGGTGTCCTACAAATAACCTTCTGGCTAAATTGACTGTGGACCACAATGCGGTGTTAGCTAAATGCTAATTTATGTACCTCATGTTGTGTGTCTACGCATGTCTCAATGCTACTATTAATAGTACATGTGGTCCTGCTCGGTGGAGGAGAGAAAACCATGACGGGTGGGGGGTAGCACTCCCTTGAGCTGTTTTTAATGGCAGAAGAAGGTGTCCTGGTGCTAATAGAAGTCAGTCCTCCCGTCTGACTTGCTCCTTTTTGTCTGCTACTGTTTGTCCTGATTGTGCCCTGGCAGAATCAGCCAGTAGTAGGATTATGATGCTGCTCTCAGCTCCTCCCCTCCAGGGCTCAGATGTTGCCATGGTTGGCCTGCCTAAGAGGAGGAGGAGGGGCAAGAAGGAGGAAGTGTTCTGTTCACTACTCTGAACAGAGCAAAGGGCACATCTCTCTCCAATGACATCGTCTGCTTCAATTGGACGTCCTTGAGACATGGTCCTTGGCAATATTTAATAACCACTGCTTTTACATTAGGGATACAAAATCATTGTATAGCACATTGGGACTACACTATGTAAGCCATTACAAACTATATTATTAAAATAACATACCACAGGTCACCTTAGGTCCTATTCCTACAAACATAATACACCTGTGTTTTGGTGTAATGTAAAGTGGGACATGGGGCTAAATGCATTAGGCATAACAAAATATGTTTTGTTTCGCTAAAAGTTAAAACATGATTTATAATTTACCCAACATCTTTCTGTATGTTTGTGCTACTTGTTGTGTATGCTTTTGTCTTGACTTCATAGCCTCCCTCCCACGCAGTTTATATAAAACAGCTCACAGCCTACAGCTGCTACTGGCTAAGAGAGAATTTGCGAGTTCTTAGGATGCTTCTGTGATGAGCATTGACTGTTTCTCTTTTGCAGAACCAAAGATCAATGCCTCTGATCAGATCATTCTGCCATTGGATGGTTCAATCAAACCAGTCATCCTGCAGTGTAACCTCACATCTGCCCACACTTCTCACAAGGAAAGCTTCTGGATGAAGAATGGGAATGAACTCACCAATACAAGAACTGAGCACAGACACACAACATACAGGTAACAGTGACTGCCAAATCAAATATACAGTATTGTAAATCACATCCAAATGTGGGTTCCCTTTCTTACTGCCACACAAGCTTCTGTCACCCCAGTAGACATATCACAAACTCTCAATGGGACAAGATCAGACCAGTTGGTCTATTACTCTATTTCTGTGGTATTACTACACTACAAGAATATGTTGATGATTCCAGTTAAAATGCCCATGTATTCTTGCAGGGCAAAAGTAAGAGTTGCTGTTTGGTCACAGAAAAGCATATAGCTCCGTATCACTCACAAATCATTCAGACATTCACACACTAATTACTTGACTTACAAAGCAAAATCTGTCCAATGAACTTACTCGTCATATTGTATGGCTAATTCCCTGCGGTATATGATTGATTTTATTTTGTATGATTACAGAATCACTAAGCCACGGGCTGATGATTCTGGGGAATACATGTGTGTTTACACATTTGACATGGCACCTAATGCTAACGCAACAATTGAAGTAAAAGGTAAGGGTTTTTACCTTCTTTACAGTCTGTCACTACTGCACCCAGATGGTATAGGATCTTTGAAGCTTTGGCCTTCACTGTCATCTACCGAGATAACCATGAGAGTACAAACATTAGCTGTGAAAGAAGTCCTGTACACAAAATGTTTGAATTGATCCTGCGAAGCAGCGATGACATGAAGCTGTCCTGAGGCTGTTGTCACTCTCAGCTTTCACTGAGACCACAGTCAACCAAAATGGACAGGAGCTGCACATGTGTATGACTGCACTATAATCAGCATTTACACACCAACAACTATTCTATTTGTATGTACAAGACATTGCAATTTCTGTTTAAATATGGCGGTGCACACACAACAGTCAGAAAACCTAACAAAAAAACTACTGTGTTGGTTTTATTCAAGCTGACAGTGAAGCCATCAACTTGAATAAGGAATCTTCTCTGAGAAAGGGCAAGTGGAAACCCTGTTCAAGAGAAGCTTGCCTGTGTGCAGTGCTTAAGCCAATTTGCTATGGCATGGCTTTGTGCATACTGAGCATGTCCTGCCTCTTCTTCCTTGGCTTGTCTTAAAGTGGTGCCTGATTGCATAACATGGGTGACATGTTTTCTTTTCACTGGATTGTGGAATGATAGTATTCTATGTAACTCAAAATAATGTGCCAGTCCACCACTGGGCGGCAAGCCTACACTAGGGCTTTTAAAGCCTCCATTTCTGTTATTTTTATCTAGAAATGTTGACATAATATTTCTAGTAAATCGCACATTTTTACAATGTAAGGCATGTTTTCTTCATAAACATGATCTCAATGTGCTTGACATTGCTTGTGACACAGGTAGCAAGCCCATTGCTAGGTGGCTCTGCTTTGGGCCTCTGGCAGCAGTTCACTGAGATCCCTCGCCTACAGTGTCCTTGGCACACTCATCTTTGCAGGACTCAGCTCAGAGGCAACAGATGGAGGCTTCTGTGATGTTGTAGGATTAAGGCTCTGAAAACAGGCCCAGCCATTTCTATGGCCGGAGTTTATTGTCTGCAATACTAAGCTTGGATACATATTTCGATTTTTTTCTTCGAAGTCTTTGAAATTGAAAGAACAGTGACCAAAACAGCATTCTTATGCATTCATTATTTTCATTCTTGGATTTCTGTTAGAAAGTCACAAACCAAAATTGTATGAACATAAATAGACAATAACTGTCACTATAAAAATATATATTTCTGATTAATTGATAAATTTGTTTATTTCTCAATATCAATCAATCCAACAATATCACAGCTCTGTATGGCACATAACCAATGTACTCAGAAAAGGACAAGTTTTTTTTGCTCTGCATAGGGCACTGCTGTCAGTCAAAGACACAAGACTGTAAAGATAATGCACAAATAAGCTTGGCCACTCCTCTGCCCCAGGAGCATGTACACACTCCATAATTAGAGTGAGTGATGTCACCAAGGAGTCCAAACGTGTGTTGCTGCATTGTTTATGTGCAGCTAAAAAGACTCACTTTGGCTTTCTTCATTATCTTGATAAATTGTAGAGATGAAATTGTTATTTTAAATATTTTAGACATTATTATCTTTCCAATAACTGCATTTAGGTTTACTGTCAGACAACATAAAATCTTTATTTACTTTGATTTGAGACACTTTCAATTTGAATCAGTGCCTTCTGACAAATCATCCATTCATTTCCTTTGCAGGTTTATCAGTGGTTTATTCATAAATCAGAACTAATTCACAACATTTTCTTTGGTTCAAAGGTTCTTTTGTGACAGCCATTGTGGAATTATTTTGAATAAGACCATCTGGGGGCTTTATTTCATTCTCATTCCTTTCTTCCATGACCTCATTATACATTTTAATAAAATGCTTTATCTCTTCAAGAATGATATTCCCAATTGCAAAGGCTGAGTGGCAAGGGTACGGAGGCTTCTTAAATTAACTGTTTTTGTATTGAGCCCGACAGAGCCTCTTGGAAATCTGTTTTATTAGCTGATTAGTCAATGCATGCATTCCATTGTTCTGATGATTAAAACCCATTCATTATTTTTGCTTGAATTTCTTATTGAGAAGCTGCTTTCTTGACTCTCTTTTTGCACAGGTTGCTGTTTTTTTGTATTTAGAGCATAGTTGGGTGGAATGTTGCAGACTTTTTCACCTCTCCACAATTTCATTGTGAAGTGAACCTACAGTAAATCCGGGAATCAGTTCATCATCAACATAATTCTTATTGCATTTACCGTATTCAATGTCTGACATGCCTTAGATTGCAAACCAAGTAGAAGTCAAATCATCTAATTAAATGTTGCTTTACTTTATCAGCAAAACCTGATATTATTGGCCATAAGCGAAGTGAAAACAAGAAGGAAGGGGAGAATGCAACACTATATTGCAAGTCAGTTGGCTATCCTCATCCTATCTGGTCGTGGCACAAAGTTGATGGAGCTTCAAACACAAACACGGTAGTCAAGTGGATTAATTTCATCCAGTGCCTGTATGACCAAATATACTGAATCTGTTGGGTTGATTTTTTGCAGGAAATAGACAACTCCACTGGACGCTTCTTCATAACAAACAGAGACAACTACACAGAGCTCAACATACTCTACTTGGATATTAATACAGACCCTGGAGTGTATGAATGCAATGCCACAAATCTGATCGGGACAACTGCCGAAACAACCATTCTTCGTGTGCGCAGTCATCTGGCACCACTTTGGCCTTTCCTTGGTGTACTCGCAGAAATTCTCATTCTAGTAGTAATTATAGTTGTGTATGAGAAACGCAAAAGACCAGATGACATTATGGACGGTAAGACCATTTGAAATATACATTATTATTATTTTTACTTTTATTCATCTATTTCTAGGGAAGAGTTTTACAATACTGGAGTTAAAATAATATATTTTAACCATAGACTTATTATATTGTCTACTTTTTACCATTCTTTCCAAATGGTACCACAAATGGTTGGTAAGTGCAAGCCTTGCATGGTTTAAGCACCAATTCATTATTTATTTCAGTTTTTTGAACCTACAGTCCATCCTACTTTCTTTTTCCTTTGTGAAATACATATTAACAAACATCTAATACTACTAACCATCTTTTCACAATGTTCACAAGTGGATCAGGATACTTACAGCACCTGCTCAAGTGGGTGGACTATAGGTGCAGGACATTTTTGACTGGAATGTTCTAAAAAATGCATGGCGGAGCCATGATCTACAGCATGTCACACACCCACATACAGTATTTACATTTGTTTTTCTGCTCTGTTGTACATAATAATTCATTAGTAAGTAAACTAGCATTAACACGATTTACTTCTTACCAAATTGCTCAAAAATATGTACTCTACTCTTCCCACCAATGCATTGTCCTCTTTTTCCTTAGTGCTCATCATAGACTATATAAAGAAGTGGACTAAGGGAGACCCACAGTGTTTGGCCCCAGTCAAATGCTGCGTTGAGTTCCATATTAGGAATAGAAATTTATTTACATACAAATTAGTGAAATAAAAACACCATGGGGCTATTATGAACATTTCAAGACTAAAATGACAAGGCTTACTAAAGCAGTTACAGAAAGACCGGTGACAAGTTTTCATCTTCTTTCTTGAAGTCAATTGTAGCCCCCATGCTTACTTCCTATTTGGAACAAGGTGGCTAGCGGGTTAGCTATGTCCATTTATATATACAGTCTATGGTGCTCAGACACAATTGTCTACTTCAACACAAGTGGCTAACTAAGCATGTTGCTCATTAAACATTACTAATTTACTCAATCAGTCACAACAGTATGAAAACCTCTTGCTTATTTTGCTCTACACTACTAAATCGCATGGCAATGTAATTTCTAACCAGTCTCAACTTTGTTCTTGTTTGGCCAAAAGCTGATTTAAATAGATTGCATTTGCTATGTTGCCATTTAAGTTGGGGAAAAAAGTGTTTTTACAGCACTATATTCAATCTCTTGATACACAGCCGATTGATTTGAGATAGAAGATTTGAGATTTCTCTTGAGATGGAAGCTGTGATAAAAGCCTTTTCTATGCATACCACTCACTGATAGTAGCTAATGACTCATAATATTTAAGATGCACAGTGGAAATACAGAATGAATAAAAAAAAATAAAATTCTGAAATAGGCAAAAGATCCCAAATTCTTAACACTATATCACCCATTAACTGCATTCATGTTAAGGAATGCTGCTGTTTTTAACTCCTAACTGCATGAAAAATATGTCACTGGCTGGTTACACTATCTGTATGTCAAACCAACTGCTTTGTCATGCTTAAGGTTGTGGATTTCCAAGCTAACTTGTCAAAAGCTGTTCACTGTGAGGTTGCATAATCAATGTTAAATTTAAATTAATTTTGTTCCACTTTGTCACTACCAGTATCTATTTTTAGTTTTACTTAAAAAAATGATTTCTCCTGCATATGGGTCTGACATGAACAGGACTCCACAGGGGGAAACGCATGAAAGATTAAGCTAAATCGTGGTGCTTATTTAAATGCGTCCAATTATATCCAAGTGATTGTCACATTTTATCAGTTTGCTAATTCAACACTATAATATCTTCACACTGAAAAATTCATTATAGGCATATTTTGGTGTATATTAATGTTTGTCTTTTGTTTTTCTATTTTTTTCTGCTTAAGACGACGAACCTATAGGACCATTGTGAGTATAAGGGCATGGACTTTGTAAATGTTACACTGTTTACCATTTTAATTCATTAAAAATACTTTTTTCTCAGGAAAACAAATTCAACAAACAACCACAAGGACAAAAACATTCGCCAGAGGAATATGAAATAAGCAATACCCACAAGTAAGAAAGTGCATTTGGCTAAACATAGCCCCTATTTTAAGGATTATCCATAACACCTTGTCTTGATTTTCACAGATCAGATGGCTAAGCTGCATATTTTGAATACATGAAGGCATCAAAGGTGGAGTGCAGGCGGGAATGAAAAAAAGCATATCTGTCTGACTTGAGAAACAATATCAGCATAACACTGGCATCAAAGAGAACATAATGGCTGTCTAAAGCATGCCTTATTCAGTCTTACATGGAAATTTTGGGAGGAATAATAATGACTATAAACCACCACAAAGGTGTACACATTTTTTAATGTGATGTTGATGTCTCCTTTATTAATTTCATCTTGTCCTCAAAAGAGGTGATCCCTTTTGTATTACATATCATGTACAATGCATGCAAGATAAATACGCAATAGGATACTCAGAATTGACATTTTCTGTTGTTATCCCTCGTGTGGCTTTTTGTTGGAAATGATGTATGTTTTTTATATATAGCAATTAGTTATATTCTTGAAATTTGTACAGCATATCATGGCCATTCATCCATGTTTGAATTTGTGACATAAAGTCCACTTTGGAGGAGATTTTTATTTTGAAGCAAGGGCTTCAAGGACAGGCAGTATTTATTGAGTGGGGAACTTTGGTGTGTTTAACTTACAGCTTAACAAATTATATGTGTATTATTTCTATTTTCTTTCCAGAGTTATTAGGTGTCTTGTATATGTTGAGGTATGAGTGTTAAAACGATAGCGATACTGTAAAAATGTTTTTATATTTCCCAAATCCATTAACAGATTTTTATTTGCCTCTACTTAACTGTATAGCATGGCTATGATTCTATGCAATATGTATTCTTGAATAGATATATGGAGAGCAGTTTGTTTCACTCAGTGAAGCTTTAATATCGTGAGATCACTTGGAAACTGGCATAGCAAAATCACTGCTGTAGCTGCATGTCTCCTTTTTCAATACAATGTAAGTATGTTTGTTGCGGTGGAAATGGACCTGCGCACAGTTGGGAACTGAGGGACCAGAGTATATAGCCAAGATTAACTATATGAGTGAAACAAATATTTTTTTCTGAATAAAAATATTTAAAATATAGATGTTTTCCACCAGTCTTTCAGCCTAAAATCAGTAGCACAGTTTTCCATTATGTATTTTTGGCTTTTACAATGTATTGCAGTCAGTGAACAGCACAGAAAGAACCACTTGGAACAGGCACTGCCTACACAAAAATGTGGAAAAACAAACAAATGGTCATACTGACTTGACCTTACTGTTATTAGAATTCTTCACTCTTGCAACAATGTCTTCAGCTCTCCCTCCACCTTCTCCACAAAAGCATGGCAGCTAGGATCCAGCAGAAATACACGCAGAATGGGCTCCAAATCACCTTGTGCCAAATCACAGTGGTGATACATCTTCGGCAGAGTTAAATTAATGTCTCCCAAGTAATACTAGAATAAAAACATGAATTGAATTTCAAAACAGGCACTCAAAAAATTACTTAGAGAAATAGCAATATCGTTGTGTTGAGCAATAGTGTATTACCTGTGCAAGCTTCTTTATGGGCAGTAATCCCTGGATCGCCTCTTGCTTGCTCCCCACATCATCAGCACTCTTCAGAGTTAAGGACCAAAAATAATCAGGGTTAAGAGACCAATCAATGGCTTCATCACTAATTGAAAGATAGCTTTCTACTATGTCCTTTCATCTTCACTGAGAACTCCTTCAGTGTGGCTGTTCTCTAAAGGTCACATGCCACTCACTTCAGTGTCAGGAAGTCTGTAATATATATAATATACACAGAAATATAACCCCAATACTAATTTCCACAACTGTGGAATAAATGTGACATTGGAATGTATTTTAAAGAGCCTGAACCGTCACTTAATGTCTAATTATTAGGGGTTCACTACAAATATGTAACAATATGAAAACACAATTTACACATCAGAAAACAATTGGTGTCACTGTCTCAACTGCTGTCTTTGTTTTAATAATTTGATTATGTTTGCCTTCGGGTAACAATTACAAGCAATACTAGGCCTATTTTTGTGATCTGAGGGGCATAGCACCTTTTGTTGTATTTATAAATCAATTATATAAATGCTCCCTATTCTGTCTGTGTGTGTCTGTTTGGGTTGGGGCATGCTGTACAGTGCATGTATGATTTATGCTCTCTCTCACTTGGGCAGTGCTGTACTGGTAAAGCGTCACATTAGTGCACAACCCAATTGTAAATAGCACCACCTAGTGAGAGAAAACAAGATGTGAAGATAAAAATAGCTGCTTCTGCATTATGCAATGTTAAAATGTATGCACTATAACCATAATTGAAGCCATAATTTCTGTCTTCATTTTAGATATATTTGGAGCAAAACTGTAGGTCTGTCGGTGTGTTTTATGTCACCTGTGGAACTTGTATTAAGGGCTCAGTATGGGTTTGATTAGGTGGCTGTGGGGCATCCTCCAGACTGGTGACAGGCAAGTACTCCATTACTTTCTTCAACGCATTTGCAGCCTCCTTTAAGGCATCTTCCTTCCTTTTGGCCTCAAATTGTAGTCTGGTCATGCGACTCTCCCCCTGCAAATGAAGCCTTTAAACAAGGATTCTTATGCCAACAAGAGAAGCACGGCTTTAGTTTTGATGTTTACAAATAATGGATACACCTTGGCAACAGAATGTACAAGCTTACTTACATTTAAAGTAAAACGAAACAGGAGATTATCAGATTTTTGGTGAACTTTGATATGGTCCCCACTACCGACCAGATGCACAGTATCCTAAGAATAAAAAAACATGTATCAATTAACATACACAAAAACACATGTCAGTGTGTGTGCCAGTCGCAAGCAACATTCACTAATTTCTCCCTTTGCTTTGCTCAAAAAGTTGAAGTCAAAAATAAATCATGTAAAATGCTCCACAAGAGGAAATGCCCAGAACTACCTGCAGAGGTCTCTGTTTACATAGAAACCCTATGTGAGGAGTGCAGTAGAATTATCAGTACCATTGTCATTATCATACAGGTTCAATTATCATACTGGCTATTATTATATTATAGCTTTTAGACACATAATTGCAATCTGTCTTCCTAGCTTTAAATGTCAATACTATTATTTAGAGTTATAAGAGTATAGGCTACTATTATTATATATCTTGACAGAACTCAGTAAGAAACTAGTTGAGGTTAAGATAATTTTATAGGGAGAGAACTGTGCAGGTCAAAGCTCATTGCAAGCACATTGTCTTTCAAAAACTCTAAAAGTTAAGAGTAATTCCTTATTATTCTAACTTATCTAATTATTATTACTATTATTAATTAATATATTAAGTGCATACAATAGACTAGACTAGATTAATGTATGTAACTAAAATACAAGACATGACCATTATATTTATTATAGCTTCAAAATACTATAGAAGAAGTACAGTACAATGTTGGGTCCAAGTATTTGGGTAAAACACTTCTCAAGAAAGAATATACATAACATCTGATTTATAATTTGAAATATAATTCAAAGGAAAACACATTAAATAATGCACAGAAATTTTGTATTTTCAAAGGATAGACAGCAAGAACTGAATATGAAGAAGTGATGCAAAAAACATAAATGTTCAGAAAATAATTTAGGAGTTATTGTCATTTGTGGACTTACTGAGTGGAGGTTACCCAAAACGTTCATTCAAGTTATTTTTACACAGAAATTATATTAAGTACCCGTAAAAGTATTAAGTTTGAAAATTACTCTAAGTCGACTACTTTACTGAGAATTACTTTGATTGATTGATTGATTGATTCGTTTTTATTTCGAGTTTGTGCCAAGAGAGAAACAATAATCATATATACTACATATACATTGTAAACAACAGAAAAGCACATTTCTCGAAAAGGAGTGGGAAGAAGAACTTGAGCAGGTTAGCGTACAAATGTATTACGAAACAGCCAACAGGCCTGTGTAGATTATATGTTCACATATTAGTTAGCCATTACTTTAAAAGGCTGTTATCTAATATTGTTTTAAAATACATGTAGCTTATTCAGTAGCCATCCTTGACCAGTCAATAGCAACATACTGACACTTACCAGGCTCTCTTGTCCCTGCATTACAAGCAAGTATCCAGTGTCCAAAATCGTCAGAAAAACTGGTGACTTTTTCTTGCCACTCTCATAAACCTAGACAAAGGTGTTAAACGGTAGTGATTTGTAAATGCCAAGCTAACTTTGTTATGTTGAAAAAAACTAAACTAAACAAAAAAAAAAAAAAAAAAAAAAAAGTAGGCCTTTTACAAATCAACCAAGTCTTATTAGCATAGCATTGCTATGCGTAGATCGTTGATTGGTTATAGGTATAGCTTACCTTCCATGGGATTGTTGTTTTGTCTTTAGCTCCTGGTGTATATCGTGCAAAACGCTTCAGTTTCCATGACCGATAAGTGGCCATGTTTAAATGTGGTTTTGAAGGGGGCTAAAGGATGCAAACCTAGGCCGCACGTTGCCAATTGATGTGACGCTCACTTGCTTTATGGCGCGCTTGTCCCCGATATTCGCGCTGCAGTGGACACTGCATACTGCTCAGGCCCATGCCTCATTCTCTTGGTAGAAAAAACTATTATGGGCAGGAAACAGTACAAGGTAGGACATTTTGCATAAATCAGCAATGAAATTAGTATCCTTCGTCATATGTATAGGTTACTGAATTAACAGTCTATCAGTAAACACAATTCACTGCCCACAGTGGTTCTGAACACACGGTGGTACCCCCATGAGGGTAGCCTACAACTTAATGTGTTGAGGGATGTCAACAGGTCACCACTGAAAAAGGTTGATAACTAGCCTCTGCAGATTGCTGATGTTGATTTTTCCTTACCAAAATAGTTTATGTTTTTAGGATAATCTGGCATAAACTATTTAAAATATCTCCATCTCAAGGGCTGGACTGGCATGCTCTCACTGAATGTGATTGATAAGTGATGTCTTTTAAAATAAAACTTTACAGGCAGAAATCAAGCTCTGATCATCTTCACAAAAATCCTTTTGAAACTGTTTAGCCGTACCCTTCTTGTCTGAACCTGGTTTGATCGATTCTGTATGATCACTTGATGCTTCTATAGAATCATCATGTGAGCACACCTATAGGTATAGGTCTACATGTTGTTACTTTTATCATGTGGGGTATTAAGAGGCCCTTTTTATTAACCTACATTATATAACCCACATTATAAAAGCACCTGCAGAATTAACTCATGAGCTGCAGATGCACTGATTAATGAGCAGGCTCTGGAGATTTGCTAGTTGTGAGTATTATAGTATATTATAGTAGTTTCTAGAGTCCTTTTAGAGACTTTCAAAATCTACAAAGATCTTTCCAATTGGTTTTAGTCAAATGATGTGGTAACCAAAAGTTCTCATCCTGCCTTTTCTTTGCTTAATCAGCTTAATCAGCTTGTGAGCCAAATCACCAAAATATAAAAACTTTGCCAAATGGGCATCATGTCCAGGTTAATGTAACAATGTATAACTCTACATTTGTTTTCAGTGTAAAGCATATCGCATTATAGCATGTTAACTTACATAAATAGGTAATTTTTTGAAACCAAAAGTTTACTATCTATCTATCTATCTATCTATCTATCTATCTATCTATCTATCTATCTATATATCTATATATATATATATATATATATATATATATATATATATATATATATATATATATATATATATATATATATATATATATATATATATATATATATATATTTGCACTAACAAAATAAAAATAACTCTCATTAAACAAGCATTTATGCAGTGGCACAAGTCACGGCTGCTCCTGGGTTGCCAAAATCTGTTGACGTGCTCCCTATTGTTTCGAAATGTATGTGCGTGAATGGGACGCACACTCACCGCGTAGCCACAACTTGTGAGCTAACATCAGGGCAGCATTTTAAGAATGGGAAGTGCATGGCTACCCCTTTAAACAAGGTGGGCTGAGCTTATTTTCAATTCTCGCTCCTATGGCAACCTGACAGATCAGCATCATGAATATTCACAATTCTCCAAAACGCACTCTTGACTATGGATCAGTGATGTCAGCGGTCCTTGAGATGCTCCAGTAGGCTATGTTTAGCATTTTTTTCACACGATGTGTTGATGACAACTGCGAGACATTCAGTGAAACGGCAACCTCATAAATGACCTTTCCTTCGTCTCTGTTTCAGCGTCCGTCGGCACGTCTCTCACATGTCACGCTAAGGTGACTTTCAAGCAGTTTGTGCACTTTTGCGCACGATGTCAAAACGGCACAAGTATCGGGGACACCTTGGACAACGGAACTGGCTGGACTCCGCGTAAGGACATACGCAGACCGTCAGATAGTCCAATTAGGAAAATAGATAAGAGTGTCTGTCATGTTTGAGCGAAGCAACGGCGGTCCATGTCATGTACAGCAGGCTTCCAGGGATTCAGATTAGCTCCAAACTGGCTCTCGCAAACAGAGGGGGCACTGGGCTGGTGGCATCAGTCACCTCGGAGCTAAACCATCTGGATTTGTTGCATTTGTTCGGCCGTGTGTCTCAATGTCATGATGGATAGGTTACACTCGTCCATGCGTAAAAGGCTCTATAGTTTGCCTCAGCACATTGGACACAAAGCTTCTATAATGGGTGAAGGAGAAGACGCAGACAAGGACACGCGGAGGAAGAGTATAAGGATGAAGCCTCTGCCCTCCCCTACTTCTGGGGGTAGCTGCAAAGGCATCACTGAGACCAAAAGTGGGGAGTCTGTGATCATGGAGACGGACATAGGAAGACCGCTGAAAACCAGCTCGAACGGTGATTGTCGGAGGTTTCGAGGCAGCCTCTCCTCCATCACCAGTCGGCATGTGCACGACCCAGAGTCAGCGGAGGAGAGACGACTTATCACCGAGGGAGATGTGACCCCAAGTGAGGAGAGCCCTCCTGGTGCCATTGGAGATGAGCCACCGGATCAAAGTGCGCAAGCGGCCAGTGGTGGTGGGGATAGTGGTACCCACAACGACTCCTCTGAGCAGCAGCCCGGCTTTGTAAAGTTGGATGCCATGGATCAAATTTTACCAGATGATGATAGATTATACCAGTCTGGTTTTATGCATAGACAGTTTGGAGCAATGCTTCAACCTGGGGTGAACAAGTTTTCCCTGAGGATGTTTGGAAGTGAGAAGGCAGTGGAAAGAGAGCAGGAGAGAGTTAAATCAGCTGGATTTTGGATTATACATCCATACAGTGATTTCAGGTAAAATCACACACACTGAAAATAATTTAGAGCTCAGTACAAGTGGAGATCAAACCTGCTTTTCACAGACCTCAACCTGTTCATTCACACTAGCAATAGTCTCCATTCATTCATATTATGTACTATTTAAGGTATCACAGATCTGTTCAACAAACATAAAACATAAGCATGATATTCCGAATATTTTAATGCAAAGTTGGTCATTATCAGTCAAGTCCTTATGGAGGCAGGAAACTCAGCAGATACTAGCAACTGTGGGTTTTTTAGTGATGGTGACCTTCCATATTGCAACCAATGTTAGACCATTACGTACTTTTAAGTTGCTTGTTGGCCAAGAATGTTAATATACTGTTGTTAGACATAATTATATGGGAGTGCTGAATTAGATGTAGGCTTGGCAAAAAAAAAAAATCAATTAAATTGATTAATTGAATTTTAAGTCCAAATCAGTTTGTTTTGGAAGAAAATCCTCATTATCAGACATGCAAAATGCAAAACACAGCAGTCACAGGATGCAAAGTTTTAGACGTGATGTGCTTTTCCTTCATGTGCCTTATGGAGAAGAGAAAAGTGAAAGAATTTAGCACAGGGCCTGTGACGTCACATTAAATGTTGTGAAAGTTCAAATCACGTTTTTTGTCCCATATCAGCTACATGCTTGTTTTATCTCATTCATAAAATGGGGATGGATTTCCCCACAGTGGTCAATTAATTAAATATGTTCACTTCTCAATATAATGTTGTTATTTTTTGAGACATTTTTTTTTTGAGAAAACAATTTTATTTCTAGGCAAAATCACCCAGTCCTAATCACATGCTGTAATTTGTGTGATGCTCCACCCAGATGGTAGTATTTCCTATGACCCTGCATGCTCTCTCTCTCCATCACTGTGGTAAATGTCATGAAGAAGGCTGATTTGGGGCTTGGGGATACTGTTGTTACTCAAAGGTCAGAGATTTGGCACCAGCAATAGTTTTGAACTAACACTGTGTTCCTACCCTGTGGAAGATTGTGTCCATGTACTTTATTTTGAGGTAATAGAACAGATTTTAATCTCCACTGCCAGGTTTTTGCTTTTACTTCTCTTGTGTAGGATTTTCCTTCACATCATGTTACCACACTTGAACTTAAATAATAAGTCAAATAATACATCACAGCCACAGCATGCTCAAATTGGAGCATCAGAAGGGATCACAATAATTATTGAGCTGAAACCCAGAGAAATCTTCTCTTGTCAAGTATTGTATAGGGCTAAGGAGATGGGGGAGGAGCAATATCTTTGCTTGGGAAAAAGGCGGATTAAAAATGGCATCATAATCCAATCTACAGCCTCATCCCAGATTCAAAGCTGAGCATCCTCCTTTACTTCTTAACAAGCAACTTCTACTAAGAAGATAGCAAGTGAAGAAATTTAACTCAACTATGATATAACAATCCTCAGACAGTGTCAAAAAACAGACTTGATACATGAGGAAATAGAAGAATACAATTTGTTCATATGTTAGAAATGATGATGCAAGGCAGTGTGAAGTTGTCAAAACAATAACTCAAACACACACAACTTAAAACATTTACATCTCTGAGCAAAACACAGGATAGGCTTATTTGTTGGAACACTTTTTTGTTTAATCAAATCAGATTGATACATATTGTAGCATTATAATATTTTGGTTTAAATGGTTGACAATTTTTATTCTGCTAAAGAAATAGTAAATCAGCAACAGTATTGCGCTGCTATAATGCTGGACAGATATTGTCCGGGCATGCTAAAGATTCCCTTTTAAGCCTTGTATGATGAAAATCAGGAAGTCATCATGCATAGTGTCCTTTCAGTGTATCTGTTACGGCAATAGCTTGATACACAAGTCTTGGGACAAATGATGGCACACAATATTACAATGAAGGCGCTCTGATCATCTAGTGCTTTTTAATTATCTTGTTATTCAGAGCCCAGGGGACACATCTGTCGAAAAGTCTTGCACATTTCCCAGAGGAATAGAAAAAGGATGTTGTACATTAGGAAAGTTTTACAAATTGAAAGCTCTTTTGAACTCTTCAGATGAAAAGGAGCGAAAAAGCATGGGTCATCTGTCCGAGCTGTTTCTGTCAATCATGTGGAGCCCTGTGCAGATGTCAGCCACACCTCTCAATGATATTTGTAAACTGTTACAATATTTTACTGTTTAAAAAAATTACAACAGTCACAAAGGAATTTGTGTTGCCAGTGTCTTATCCTTTATATAGAGGACACATACAAGATTTTCTGAGTAAATGCAAAGGCCATGTGTGAACATTGAGAATTCACTCACTGAACTGCAGAGGCTGCACTAGCGCTCATTAATGATAGGCGGCTGGGGTGTAGATAGTGAGGATTCAGATAAAGTCTGTTTTTCTTGTAGGTTTCAACCAACTGCATTTTAACATGAAATGAAAGACTCATTTGTGGCTCATTCTGCTTTCTGATTGGATAGCAGGCCTGGATTGAAATGAGATATCTTTTCTGGTATTTTTTTGCCCTATTTCAGACCTTTATTATCTATTTATTTGCGTTAATAAGAGCTTTTTTTCCACAAATTATTTTATTCAGTGGCACTTCAATACGATTACCTATTGCTATGGTGTGGCCTGAAAATGGGATAATCAAAATAGACTGTTGTGCTCATCCACAAATTTTAGACGACGAGATGATTATAGCACAATTTATTTAATGGAGGGAGCCCATGGAAGAAGCTTGTGGGCGGGATGTTGACTGTCATACAGGAAAAATGATGAGAGCAGTGTTGTGTGGCCTGGCCGGGCAAGCACCGTGAAGGTGTAAAATCAAGGCACGTGATCCAAACCTGGGAGGAGACTGTTGTCATTTCATTCAGCTTTATTTATTTGGCACGCAGCCGCTAGAGTTTAACCTTGATGCAATCTTGAGGTGAGGTTATAATGATTGATTGGATGTCATGCACATTTGGAAAATAGCTAAGGCGCCTGGGTGTGCATTCTGCTAAGTCCTTTATGTCACCCAGATGCTATGGTTAATATATTCTGGGCTTTGGACAAATGTAGTGTTGTGTGGACTTGCCGCTCAGCCGCCCCCTGATCCTTCTGCTACATCATTTCATAATCTCTCTGGATGGATACGCAGTTAGCCCCAATCTAGTTTTCCTTTTAACACATTGCACTGCCTGTTTGAACCTTTTTTTCTCTTTCTACTGAGCAAATGAAATTAACCTCAATGCCACATTAAATAGTTCATATAATTTTAAAACTAGTTACAATTAAGCACCTCATATGACTAATGAATACTGAAACGATAAAGTTTGTAGTTTGTTCTTTTGGCATCAAGTGTTGCAACAGATGCATAAATATTGTTCTCAGTGTATTTAGTGTTATCTACACCTACCAAAATATGCTAAAAATTCTAGAAAGTGAGAAACAGCACTGTGTCCCAAGCAAAGAAACCAATAATTGCATGTTTAAGCTGTCAAGATTTACTTGATTGTAGCTTTGTGAAAAAATAATAAAAATAAAAAAATAAAATCCAACTCTTTGGAGCAATACAATAACCAAATTGTAAATGTCATGACCTCTGCAGTGATACATTTTCCTGTGTGTTTTCTCCTCACTATACTCTCCATACAGCCTGACCTTATACCTGCTCGGTCCCAAGTGGAGTTACATAAGTCTCTAAGATCGCTTTTTTCCATCAAGATTGGAATTGACAGTTTACATGAGGTTTTGTTGATGGAGGGGCTATCTAACCAACTAGTTCTCTTATATTTGCAATGGATTATACATTTTCAATACGTCATTATAGGTCATAAATTGAGTTTTTAAAAAAAGTCTATAGTGATTTAGCCTTTTTTTTGCAATACATCTCTGTGTGACCAAGTATCAAGCACCAACAAGCTAATTAGGTAAGTCATAAGCCTTGGTTGACAAGTTCATTCTCACTATTGTGATAAGGCTTAGCAGGCTTTTCTGTGCTATGTCAAGTCAGGTATGAAAAGACATCCTTTATGTGTCAAAAGGCCTCATTCAGAGCTTTAAGAATGTACCCAACACATTTATTTGATTTAAATTTTGTGTTTTATTTGATCCTAGACAGTTTCACAATTTATGAATGATCGCTCAGCTCAAACTATACAAGTATTTCTTTCTTAGTGACTCCCCCATTTTTGTTATTAAAACTCTCAGCAGCCATCTGTACAGAACAGATGCAGCCGGAGGATGGCATTTTCCTACAGGTCCTCTCTGCAGTTCCCCCATCAGAATGTATAGGAAAACACAGTGGGGCTTCCACTCAGAGAGACCACAGTCCAGCATGCTGTAGAAAGAACTCTGTGTGCGGCTGCCATGATTCACAGGAATTACTTCCCTGGATCAATGTGTTTGGCCTGGTCCTGCACCATGCTGAGTGTCTAGAGGACTCAGACAAATGGCAGGATTATAAAGCACGGCGCAGTGACTGACAGACTGGTCGCTCTCTTTCTCCATGAGGGAGACTCCTGATTTATTGTCAGCGTGTGTTGACAGCATGCCCTCTTTTCATCACCCTGGTTTTAGAATACCTGTGTACCTGCAAAGTGTAGTGCTGGAAGGCTAAAAGTCTCAGTTAAGAAACACAATTTTCTTGTCATAAAGATTTGTGACAGCGTTAGTAATCTTCCTGCCACACCAATGCACTGATTTTATTATATTGTTATAAGTAGAAACAATTTTCTTGAATGTATTTTTTAGACCTATTAGTACTCAGGACTGCTGTCTTACTGCTGTCTTGTGATAGTTCATAAAACACAATCTCTCTGGTGGATTCTACATATTCTCTTTGTGTGACCTGTAGTGTATCATCCAAAAACATGTACATGACTTCTACATGTACTTTCCTATGTACCATCATTACAACATCAGTGCTTGAATCAGAGGCAGGCTGCACAGTGGATTTGTATCAGTGCACTTCAGCTGGGCTACATATGTTCTGCAGTATCTTAATGCAACTAGAAGTCTCAACAAACACTGAATAGTTGAGGATCATTTCCCACTCTCCCTTTGACATGACCCTGTGGACCTTGTGAGATATCCCGGTGTCATGATAAAACAGCGGCGCAATTAGTGGTAGGGTGACTTGTGTACCATACCAGGGGGCAGATAATGCCTCCTGCGAGTTGTAAGCTGTGTGATAAGGAGTGGTTATGCTCCTTCTCTTAAAAACAGCTCTCCAAATCCTCTTTGGTACATTGAGCCAAAACAAACAGCAACAACAAAAGTATTTCTGACCTGTCAACATTGTGACTAGGTGAACTATGTATAGGCTCATAGGAAACTACACTACTGCTATAATAGTAAAAAGTAGAACTATGTCATCAATCATCTATCAGTAAGAGCATGTGATTTACTTGGAGCATAGGACTTTACTATTTATATTCAGACCATTCAAATTTTATGTTTATTTGTTTTTATTAAGTTGAAAGCTGTAATACATATTGCTGTGTCCCAATTGAAAGGACCATTTTATATTTTATTCATTATTATTAAATGCTTTGATCTGTGTGCCCACACAGCCCATGTATAAAATACCAATACCTTTTAAATTCACATAATACTCTGCTTTGCTTCCCGACCTGGTCCCTGTTGGTCTGTGGGCAGTGACTTGTGTGGTTCTTTCCCTGTGTTGGCTGGCAGGCTGCATGAATGCAAGAGGCTTATGGTGCTGTCAGATGCACTCTGAGGGTGACAACATGTTCCTGCCGTCCCTGGTCACTCACTGTTGAGCTGAATAGGCTGTGGCTCCACCCTCTGCCCTTTGCCCTTTGCCCTGGCCAGTATCATCAAGATACAGCAATCCAGCAACATATGGTGGTTGTGGCATCTGCTAGTGTCTTTAAACATACAGTATTTTAAATGTTTTTAGTATTGATTTGATGATTTGATGATGTTAATAGCAATGGTCTTTTTGAGGAAATGTTAATAACTCTGCTGCTCTCACTATTATCACCAGAAGCATCTTAGAATATGGAGGTTATGGTGTGGTTTCTCATAAATTTTCTGTGTTAATTACTCAAAAACTGTGGTTTAGTGTACATTGTAATTTGTAAGTATCAAGATTATGTTTATAGATGCATGGTTCAACTTAATTTAGATTACAATCTGACTAAGAGATTGCAGAAGATACAGCTGTATCTTGAGATGCCACATTCACTCCACTGTATATTTTTAGAACAATGTTCTATGTCAGAGAACTGCTGCATAACTAAACACAGTAAATGGATCCATGCTATGTTTAGGCATCGTGACCTCCATCAGGAGGCAACCCCAAACCCAAGTGAAGAAGAGAAATTCTGAATACTTCTATCTACACAGCTGAGTACCTGAAAGCAGTCTATAAAACACGCAGACATCTGACAGCTGTGTGAACAACAGCAATGTTCTGAAATCACAGGTATACTATATTGTGAGAAAACAAAATGTGAGACTACTTATATTTACCCTTAATAATGCAGGAGTACTAAACCTTATATCTGATTAATTCAATTATTTTTATGGCATCTGGTAAACTGCTAAATTATGAAAACAGTAACATTTTTAATCACATGAATAATCTGTTTTTAATGCCTTAAATAATAATGTAAATATTGCATTTTATATTTTAAAAAAGTACTTTTGTACTTTGCAGTTTTGTACTTGGAAGTTTGATTGCTCTTTTGGGGATTTGTTCCAACATATGAAAACCCACTGGTGGTGGGCTCTGTCTAAATATAACTCCACTTGACAACAAGCTGAAATGGGAGATACCCTTTTACTTTGAAGAATTCCAATTACTGTCATGGTTCCTCCTGTGTCTGAGTGCAGCAGTCGTGAAGCTCAGATGTGTGCTGCTGTATATTTATGAACAAACCACTACACTGTTGGCTGTCATGCTGCTGTGAGTTGTTGCAAGAACAGTTTTATGTAAAGCAACACATCCGTGACTATGTATATGTAGAGGAGGATGAGAGTTGTCATCACCAGAGGCAACAATGACAAAGAGAAACAGCAAGAATAAACACCATTCACTGTTGCTTTTGTTGCAGCATCATGGTCTCTGTCTATTTTTATTGGATTTTCAAATAACAACTCAACACAACAACTCAAAAACATTTGCAATAGATATCACATTGTAGATTTTACAACAATATATGAAGAGTGTTACATAATGTAAAAAGTCACATGTTCATAAATGAAAACAATCAAACAGTATTTGATCAGTCTTGAAACAGGTATTTGATGGACCCTGTAGCACAGTGCTTCATCCCAGGAGTTGTTATTCTACACACTGGGAATCAGCAATAGAATCAATAAACAGGAGCGCAGATATGGTTTACTTTAGATCAGTATGATTATGTTAAAACCCTTTGGCTTGCACATACTGAAATATTGTCTTCCTAGTTCCTACCATTTTCTTTAGTTATTAACACAGACAAAGATCTTTATTCCTATGTGATTTTAATCCGCCCCTCTCCATCCCCCACCGACAGCCCTCTTATGGAGCAATCTATGGAGTATCCAGGATACCTCAGCCTTAACACAAAAAAGCCAATCTGGATTTGATTACTGAGCTAGTGGAAGGCCTTTTCTATCTAAACTGTGAGGTTGGGAAGATGAACGAGGTTGACTAACAGTTGGTAATTAACAGTTAACCCACTGACCTTTCAGTTGGGTTATTTGGTCAAAAAGCTGTTGTTGCAAAGCATCTGATCAGTATGCTAGGATTACCCATTATTTAAATACAAACCACATTACGATGAATGTAAATAGAAAACAATTCTATATTCAGTATATAAACAAATGTTTTCTAATCTCAGTTGTAAATACAGTTTCCTGAAAGATTTGGGAAAGACTGAATTTAACAACAAATTCTATTTCACTCAGAGCTAAAATACAAGAAGAAAATGTATAATCATGTTTATTGTGTTGACTGACATGTTCTTCTCTTTTCTGCTGTCTGAAGGTTTTACTGGGATTTAACCATGCTGCTGCTTATGGTCGGCAATCTGATCATCATCCCAGTGGGCATCACATTCTTTAAGGATGAGCACACGCCTCCTTGGATCGTCTTCAATGTTGTCTCAGACACTTTCTTCCTCATGGACCTGGTTCTGAACTTCAGGACTGGTATTGTAAAAGAGGATAATACTGAAATCATCCTCGATCCACAACAGATCAAGATCAAATACTTGAAGAGCTGGTTTGCTGTGGACTTCATCTCTTCCATTCCCGTAGATTATATCTTTCTTATTGTGGAAACACGCATAGACTCGGATTTTTACAAGACTGCACGCGCCTTACGGATTGTCCGCTTCACCAAGATTCTCAGCTTACTGCGGCTGCTGCGCCTTTCTCGACTAATACGCTACATTCACCAATGGGAAGAGGTAAGAACATGATTTATGATTCAAAAAACAAAGCAACAAGTATGCGATGTCTGCTGCTGAATTACATGTACTGTTACTATTATTGCTGTTATTAAATAAGTTGTATTTTCTTATAATGTTCATGACGTTGTATTTTTCTGTAGAATACTTACTACTATTAGTACCGCTAGAACAAATTCTATTGGAAAAAACATTCAGTGAATTTTTACTTAGTACAAAGTGTAGTATTATGTAGAAAGCCACACTGTAATATAGTGCACACTGTAGTAAACACACGAAAAGGAGTATGTTAGAATGTGCATACATTGTATAACATCAAACACGGAGATGTAATTTTATGCATCACATATCAATCTGCAACAATTCATTTGTCCTATAGTGGGGAATTCCTGTGCAGTGTCTGGAGGGCCTTTTCCCTCCAGGCTCCTACAGAAAACCAAGTATAGATTTTTTCCTTGTCTACTTCTGATTGCATCCCCCCTTGACAAAGTGAAGAGACACTTTCCTGTACCCCAGTCACCAATAAGTTGATGAAGCATGCCGTCGCTGATTAGCATTTTTCTCTGCATGCCCATCCAGCTCGTTGTGGAACCATCAAGCCCAGAGAGGCAGTGCTGCAGAACAAGTATGATTATAATTGTAGCAATAATTAGAAAATCTATCAGTTCACTCACCGAATGGGTCTTTCATATTTCATTCTCGCAGGTAAAAAGTACAAAGTGTAGTGTCTCAGTGTCTCAGTGTAAGATAGATGTTAATGAAGTATTTCTTTAGAGGTATTGATTTTGTTGTCAATTTATATCACCCAATTATGTTATTATGCCTAATATGTTGCATCACATTATTATCTGCAGACATATTTGTTGTATTTTCCAAGGTCATAGCAGACAAGGTTAGAGTTGGGTGTCTGAAAAGGAGCGCTGCACAGAATAATTTATGTACGCAAATGCTGCCGTCCACTGATGTTTGGTGTCGAAACACTTCCTTGTCATGTCCTTATTCGGCCTATAAGTGGTATATCTTGACTATACCCTCAACATGTGTCTATATTTGGGTGACCATTCCCAAATAATGGATACAGTGTGTAGTGCTTGAGGGTTGCTGTGGGTTTTTAAGATTATTCATGCTGAGTCATGATGTTGTGTCATAGGTACAGTACACAGAATTTCATCAAGATAAAGTACTTTTGTTGCATAAGTACGGTCATTTTTATTTATTTATTCTGATCCCCATTAATGGCAGAATTATCAGGCACTATTCTTCCTGGTGTCTCTCTATTGACGTTTGTTGTATAAAATTGCATTCTTATAATTGATACATTAAATTCTTATAATCCATACATTATTTTTAAGAACTTTAGATACAAATAACATGGATGTATATTAGGTGTTGCTCTAAGAATGAAAAAGAGTAGTAAGCAAAGCAGATGACAGTAAAAAAAAAGTGCTCATAAGTCAGGCTTGTCTGTGAGACTGAACTGTAGTGCTCTATCCCCTGCTCTGAAGTGTACTGCCTACCACTGCTGTGCAGGGGTCTTGGTTACTTGGCCTCTCTTGGTTGCACACTCAGTGTCGCTTTGTCTGTCTGGATCATGCAGTTCTTCGCTCTTAAATTTTAGTAAGCAGTGCACAGGATGTGGGAGTAGGGCCACAGCTTCACATGGACTTGGTGATGTTTCTCCCACTATTTACACAGCTCCAAACAGCCTGTACAGCACAGCCTGAGTCCACTTGATACAGGCTTGTCATTATTTTTTTTATTGTTGATAACATCATGGACTAGTATCCTCGACTAGTCGCCTACCAAAATTCATTAGTTGTACAACCCTGCATGTGTATCTCACTCTTAAACACACAGCTTGAAAACACAGAAGCGTATAAATGGACTGGTCCATTGAGTTGCTTCACTGGAGTACATGACATTACACAAACATTTGGCAAAGGTGAATAGAGGACAACGTTCCAGTCAAACAATGTCCCTGGTCTGACTGACTTTTGAAAACCACATGCTTTTCAAACATTCAATCAGCACTTTGAGAAGAAGAGTGTGTAGAAACATTAATCATGCAGAGTCTCTGTGATGGCATTTCAAAGAGAGAAAAAGTTCAAATGAATCACTGAGGGAGAATCTTTTACCACTCTGACCCACTGTGGTACTTGTTCTGCTGTATCCCCCAGTGAGGGCATCATGGAGCAGCTCTTTTCAAACAAAGTGCTCCCATTGGCAGTGGGCTGTCAAACATTTAGCTAAATTAAGAGTAATAGCAAGTAGTAGTTCTTATGTAGCATTTTACTGTTACTAGGGGTAGGCAATATGCCAGAAATAAAATATATTACAATCTTCTGCATCACCATTCTACTGATGTACATTTACTCTCTCTAAGAGGTAAATGAGGTAAAATAGCAGATTCCAGAAGTTCCAGAACAATGCAATAGTTGGTATCACTCACAGTGTGACAGAGACTGACCAGCAGGACGGGTGGATTAAAAGTATATGTTTGAACATAAGGCTGCATTCAACAAAAAACAGCTAAATTACAATATGACAATATCACTAAGCTTGTATATCATCACAGGGATCAGGTTTCACAAATCAGTTCAATATTTTGGTCATACTGTCCAGTTCTAATATATAATAACGAGTTGTTACAGAGAATACACAAAAGTATTGCGCCTGTATAGAGTATTCATTGTTAACCCATAATTCATTCTTCAGTGGAAGTCTATATTAGCCAAAAACAACATATTAAAAGGTTTAATAAGTTTCAGTTTTGTTTTTAAATCCCCACTCCCGTTGCTCTCTGCTTTAAATCACTCCCCCTTCAGAGTGCAATCAATGTGCATCTTATTTAATGAAACTACAGCTTATCACATCATGTTTTTGAAGGAGTATTGTTTTGTATCATGCTTTTATATATTGAAAAATTGCAGTGTGGGAGCATGGGTGACTTAGACTGAGTCTTGGACAGGCTTGTACTGCTAGCCTTAAGGAGGGTTTGCATGCTGTCCAGTAGACATCTCAAGTTAACTCAAACATGCATAAATTACACATAAAACTACTTCAGGCATGTTTTTGATTATGTTATAACATGGTAGAAAGCTCCAAAAAGTTGATTTTGCATAACACCTTCTCTTCAAACTTTGCAAAGACAAAGTAGGACAACAATGACTTAAATAACTCGACAAACAGAGGAGCTGCCAGCTGCCATTTACATGTTTTATGTGCAACTGTGGGCGAGGTGCGCTGATGAATGCTACTTAGTCCGACTGTGTGAAAAGGCCAGCTTTGTCTCCACCTCAAAGAGATGCAACCTCTCTCAAATGTCACCCATCACCCACCGTAGAATAACTTTTGCGATGATCACACCACCTGACGGACCTCTTGACTTTTATTTTGATGACTACATTTTGAATTTCTTGGTTTCTTTTAGGCACAATATAAAGATTGTGATTGAGATTTTATGCTGAACTATAGCCAGAGTTGAAAAGGAAGTTAAATATAACAGCTCAAATGTATTCCGTTTATTATTGTTTGATCTTCTCCTGGAAGTGAGAAGTCGTTCAGGGGACACTTCTTATGGGACGTACCGAATACAGCTTAGTGAACTGTGTCTGATGGTTAATGCCTTGTATGCAGTAATACAGTGGGGAACTACTTCCAGCAAACTCTGACATCAGCTGGGAATAAAACTTTTTAGGACTTACACAGAGCAGAATGTTATAGTCAAATGTTCTATAATATGTATTCAAATCTAGGGTACCTGATTTGCTCCAGATCCACATGCTTTAATTTTTGGGCACATGAATGGATTCAGAATTGCTTTTTTTTCTGAGGCCGAAGCGAAACTTGCAGACAATCAGGGCACTGGTTTTGGCTCTTACTTCTGGCTTGACAAGAACTAAAAATCATTTTAAGTATATTTAGTTTATTAAATAATTGGCTGCATATAGCATGTTGTGGTCATATGTTGTCACATCTTTCTTTTTACAGTGTACTCTTTGGGTACAACATAAAATTAACTTATTTAAAAGAAAAAAGAAAAAAAAAAGCTAAGTAGCCCAATCTGAAGTATGAAACTGAAATATTTTTATTTGTTTTCTTGCTGGTTCAGGCTATGACTTAGATAGTCTGAAAGGCTATCAAGCAATTCATACATTTTAATCAAGGCTGATTCTGTTATATTTAATTGTGAAAGATAGGCTTGAGTCTTTTCATTTGGGAGTTATACAGCCAATACCCTGTTAAGTAAAAACAAATGGTTTGGAGCAGACTTCAGATTCTGGAGTATAAAATTTGATTTTTTCTTTAAATGGCAGTGCTTAAAATCTGGATGGTTTCTATTCAAGAATTTAGTATCAAAATCAAAATATAAAGCCCCAGACATCCTCCTTGCTTACAACAACAGTCATATATTCTTGAGAGTTCTTTGCTTGACCAACCAAATACTTGCTTGGATAAGATTGACCTAGTTTTTGTATGTTGTTTTGCTTCAGTTGGTGAAGACAGTCCAACACATCTCGTTAACTTGCTGTACTGAGTAAGTTTTATGATCAGGGTATGTCTACCTAATCCATTTTCCCCTGAACAAAGCTTTTATATCATGGATTTCACGTGAATGTTCACATGAATGAAAGTCTGATAGCAAGATAAAACATGTATGTGCATTGTGTAATGAGAGATTACAATAGACAAAGAGCTAACCTGCAACCAAATCATACATTTGGAGAAAGAAACACACACCAGGAATTCATTTTATTCTTGTAGCCTTGAATAACTTGTGATTGCCTCTTATTTATCCTCACAGCCATTTTGGACAGAATGTGTTGTTTACAAACAAAGAGGTTGTGATGGCAGTGGCTTCATGCCAGTGATGGCGCAGTCGTGCATAATGACATTCAACATGGTGTGCACATATCCACACATGCATCCACAGAGCAGCTCCCCGTCTCCCTCTTGTCACTCTCCCATCAGGATAAAAATACCACTGTGACCGGATATTCTGCTCATTGGAGTTGTCTGCTGTTGACAAACCAGAGACTTGGATGAGATTAGTCATCCGGTTAAATCAGATTCAATGCAGTGCACTAATGACTAAGCTCACAGGGCTTCCTCCCCTCCTCACCGATATCTCACACACCGCTGTATCGAGCCGTCCACAAATCTTAGCTTCCTCTGTGGAAATAGCATTTGTCAGACTGTCTCAGAAGTAGGACAAACAGACTAAGGTGTACTGAGCTTTTTATGGGTGCAAAATGCAAATCTCGGATGGATTGATTTGCACCTTTCAGTTCCCATTGGGCTATGAGCTACAGTTAGCATTATTATGGTGGTAAATAGGAATGAGCCATACTGGTGCCCCTTGGGTTAAAGAAGAGAGAATATGTGTTTTTTCCACTCAGTAAATCCATACAAAAATATTTAAATCTGCTCAATCAGCTAATCAGCTCTCCACTCATTGACTGGATGCTCTTTTAAAGATAAGAAAAGCAGGGATAATAGATTTAATGGGCTATTATGAAGCATACAATGAGGCTTTCCAGTGACAGTGACAGGTCCTCAACACTCTGAATGAGCTGCTTGTGTGATATGAATACCCGTGGTGGATTTTCTTTAAAAAAAAAAAAAAACGATTACAGTGAAATGTGTAATCTTGCACAAACCCAATGGTGGGGAGCAGAGAGAGTCTTTTTGTGACTCGAGCAGTGCTGCAGGCCTGTTTAGACAGATGATGGAAGGCTGTTCCCTCTGGTCCAGTCCCAGTCCTGCTTCTCATTCCACACTTCCACCCTGTCCGCCATGACACTACGCACCGTGTCACATTTTGATCATGCTTACTCTCAATCTCTTCACTGTTAGGTGATCAAGAATAGGCTTCAAATTCTGTGAGGGCAAAAGTTAGTTGGCATATTCTACTGTCAATCAACTTAAAACATAAAATAAATGAATTTAAAATAATAACAATAAACAAAAACAAGACTCATAAAGAGTTTGAACATGATTTGGGGGATATCTGTGTAACACTATGTTATGCAATTAAGCTATTAACAGCTCCTACAAAAAGTTCACTTTTTTCTTTACTCTTTGTTGTAGTCGTGGTGTAACCTCTTAATACAAAAATGAAGAAAACAAAAATGATGGATCACAATTTTTGTAGTTTTGTCATCCCTTGATTTCTTCTTTCCTCTCGTATGTGGTATATGCCACCATGCTTGTTCATTCATCATCATTAGTGATGCCGTGTGTTGCTAACAGCAGTTGCCTGAGTGCAGTGCTATTCGGCTTGTGTCTGGGCAGCTCCATCAGCATCATGGGACATATGTGTCTGCTCTTTCACCTGCCGCGCTCTTGTCACTCCATCTGCCTCTGCTCACTGTTGCTCTGCCTTTCTAGGGGGTATGATTTCAGTTTTAAAAGAAAGGTGGAATTGAGTGCATTTTGTATACATTGCATCCTTAGAAATCCTTAGTGGTACTCAAGACAAAAAAGGCCAGAAGCAAAAGCATCCAATAGTTTCTATTTTTAATTTAGTGCTAGATTTTTTATGGTATATTAAAATTTTTGCATGTTTGCATTTGGTTAATTATTTTCTATAATGGTCTAGTGGCCGTCACAGTGATCCAGCCTTAATTTTACAGTTGATGTTTTTATAACTTGCAACAAGACCTCAGAACTGAGTTTACCAACTAGATGCAATGATCATATCCATGTTTTTGATGGAAGCTGCAAGTGGGTTAAATTTGAGCCTCTTGTTTGCAGAACAGATATGACAAACCACATAACTGTCTCTCCCCTTATCAACCAGCCCTCACTCAGCCCTCTACCAATCTCCCTCTGCGGTTCTTTCAATTTAAGCAAACTTGTGATCATTAATCCATCATCCTCCCTGTATATTGTGTCATGTAAGCAGCTGCTCTGATCTCAGTGATCTCAGAATGTGTGTTACATGCAACATGACAACATGACAATTATGTTCATTTTTGGATAAATATATGAAAATATTTATTGCATTTTAGAATCATGTTATACTACAAATGCAGACAATGCATGTTCATGAATTTTGCAGCCTACAGCATACAGCAATTCTGTCTAGTGTTGTACCACTTTCTAGCATATTTCTAGTCTAGAACAAACACCAATTAATCATGTACATACTAAAACATATCTGTTTTATGCATGGCTTACTTCTGCATATTGCCTCGGGATAAATTGTATTACTACAATGGTAATTATGTAAATTCTTAGCAATAAATTGAAGATGGTTTAAGCGCAACGTCTTCTAGACAATATTTTAGTCCTCTCCCAGACCTTAATGTCTCCTAAAATACTGTAATTGGAAACTCATTTTTTATCTTAAAGTGTAACCTCCTTTTTAATAAGCATCCATTTCCTCAAAATTCAATACTGCAAATGAAAAATATGCTGGGCTTAATGTAGGTGATTGAAAGGGGTAGTACATTTATTATTAACTCCTGGTTGAATTTGAATTACATTTGAAATATGTGAATGCTATTTTAATTTCACTCTGGCTTTGGCGTGTCTTAGAATACATGACTTATTTAGAACAAGGTCATAAATGTAAACAGTGTGTGAAAATGAGCAAGTTCGAATTTGAGTGAGAAAGGTGCTGTGTGGATGATTCAGCGTAGGTACAAGAAAGTGCCCAAGGCTAAATGTTTCTGCCAAATAGAGAGAGAGAGAGAAAGAGGACACGTGGATGAAGTTTAGGTGACTATGAGAAATAGCCAAAAGTATACATTTTAAATACTCCAAAATAATAAAATACAAAAGATCCAACGCATTTCAACTAGAGATCAACCAATATGTTTTTTTGTTTTTTTTCATGGCAAATGTGTCTGTCGATTGTTTAAAATCCAGAGCAACCGATGGCAAATAAGTGCTGCCGATGTATGTTTGACCGATACACAAACTCACCCGCAGTCCTTAAGGCTGATATACAATACATTAAAAACTGCAAATATCATCCTGCCAACTGATCGGTCTGTCTATTGTCTCATTTTAGTGTATTTTCTTCAAAACTCTTTGTTCACATTACATAAAAAAGAGTGTTGAAATCCACTCAGATATTTGAATGGTTTCATCTACATCATTTCAGTACATTATATAACTATGAAAATGTCACATTTGAGAAATGTACATTTTAAGTCAGATTTTAACAGACTGGTATAGACTAAATGGTGCAGAGCACTGTAGGTCTGGTCAAATTATTGGTCGATTAAAGACTTGTCCTGTCAATTGATTAGTTTACTAAAAAAGGTACGTGGCAAAAGCTCTTAAAAAGCAAAAGATTGTAAAACTACTATTTGTATCTGACCCAAACTGCAATGACTGATTAATCCAGTAAATGATAAAGGGACTAAAGCTCTACAAATAACAGAAATTGTGCATGGAATCAGAATATGGTGAAGTGTTCAGTTGCAGAAAAAAGTCAATTCTGAATTCAATTAATCAAGTTTAAGCAGAGTGGTAGGTACCTCCACTGTGCTGTACCATTAATGTATTAGGCTAAGTGGCTAATGATAAAACTGAGTCAGCAACAAGGGACACAAAGCACTCGTCGCCTTCCACTAACCATTCCCTCTGGATTGTTTCTACCACATGCACAGCTGCACCTCCAGGCCCAGTCTCTGAACAGGCGGTGGCTTTTAGCTCTCTTTAACTCTTTACACATTCCCTTCAGCGTCAATCCCTTACTACATGCATGACGTGATCTAGTACAAGTCGCTACGATGGTGGTGTGAGGAAGCAAATCTCCCCTGTGGCTTTGTGCACTTTCCAATCTGACAAGATTTGAGCTCCAGATCCTAACCCATTTCCTGTTTTATTCTCTCCTCTGCTTTTCATTAGATCTTCCATATGACCTATGACCTCGCCAGTGCCATGGTGAGGATAGTCAACTTGATTGGCATGATGCTACTTCTGTGTCACTGGGATGGCTGCCTGCAGTTCTTGGTGCCCATGCTGCAGGACTTTCCCGCAGACTGTTGGGTGGCTAAAAATAAGATGGTGGTAAGTTTGTTTATGTATGTATGTGTGTGTATGTGCGTATGTGTGTATTTTTTTATTAACTTATCTTAGAATGCTACATATAATAAGTACATTTATGACAAATTGCACTGGCAACATGACAAGTTAAGAAAAACAAAAACAATGTTACATTACTAAAATTTAAATTATACTGTTACTGTTTGTATTGAACAATAAATATTATATTCAATAATATTTAAAAGTGCACTGCGTAACATTTCAAGTGGAAGGGCCACCACCTGGTTGTGTCCATAGAAATGTTATTGCTTTGTCCTTCAGGCCAGATAATAGGTTTGTATGGAGTAAGAAAGCTGTCAAAAATATTCGTGCGTGTAAAATAGAAATCCGTACGTATTTGGGAAATCCGTGCATATTTGGCTGTAGTTGCGCATAAAATAAATATTTGTAAACTCTCAAATGAATCCATTCATACATAAAATATATTGTGTGTATTTTATCCATCAGAATACGAATTGAAAAATTACGACGTCATGAATTACAATCACGAAATGAAAATTTACGATTACGCTTTCATCAGTACGAATACGAATTCACAGACGGAACTTTACTGTCAAAAATACGTCATCACTTCACAGACATTATCCATAGAGCAGAAGAAACATCGATCAAGATCAAGACTGCACATGCTCAAGTTTGTAGCAGAGGGTAAACACAGAGTAATAGCACAAGAAGCTACAACAGCGACCAACAAGTGGGTTAATTCAAATCTATTGTAAATATGTCTTGAATTCGGGAACCGAACGCTGCTGTATAATATTGTGTAGAAACACCTCCTTTGAACGGGAAATTGCACCTATATGTTAGATAACATAGTGGAGCCAGTTGGCTAACATCAGCCGTAACGTTATCCCAGGGCTAATTAACAAATATCAGGGTTCTCTGTATGTTTAGATTAAAACATTCACGGCTACAGCCACAGCGAGCATCAGTCAGTCTTCACTTCAGCTGCATTTCTCGCATGAAATGCCACCAAAAGTTCCTCGGGACGCTGAAATGTCCCAGTTTACACCAAACACTACCAAACTGTCCTGGTTACGACGTCACAGCCAATGAAATGTTACACATTACAGTTTAATGCAGCTTCCAGCAACAATTAATGTTCGTGTTTACAGGCAACACCTTGGTATGTTTACAGTATTTACCGGTAAGTTTAACGTCACCATGACGTGGATGGATTTGCTCATTATAACCCATTATAACTCATGTATAACCCATTGTCTGAAATGCAGCTGAGATGAAGGTTAAGACTGACTGATGCTCGCTGTGGCTGTAGCCGTGAATGTTATAATCTAAACATACAGAGAACCTGATATTTGTTAATTAGCCCTGGGATAACGTTACATCGGATGTTAGCCAACTGGCTCCACTATGTTATCTAACATATAGGTGCAATTTCCCGTTCAAAGGAGGTGTTTCTACACAATATTATACAGCAGCGTTCGGTTCCCGAATTCAAGACATTTTTACAATAGATTTGAATTAACCCACTTGTTGGTCGCTGTTGTAGCTTCTTGTGCTATTACTCTGTGTTTACCCTCTGCTACAAACTTGAGCATGTGCAGTCTTGATCTTGATCGATGTTTCTTCTGCTCTATGGATAATGTCTGTGAAGTGATGATGTATTTTTGACAGTAAAGTTCCGTCTGTGAATTCGTATTCGTACTGATGAAAGCGTAATCGTAAATTTTCATTTCGTGATTGTAATTAATGACGTCGTAATTTTTCAATTCGTATTCTGATGGATAAAATACACACAATATATTTTATGTACGACTGGACTCATTTGAGAGTTTACAAATATTTATTTTATGCGCAACTACAGCCAAATATGCACGGATTTCCCAAATACGCACGGATTTCTATTTTACGCGCACAAATATTTTTGACAGCTTTCTTACTCCATAGGTTTGGGCCTCCACCTGCTTGTTTCCATGAAAATATTGCTCCTTTGACTATCATGGAGAATATTCCAAAGTAAGGTTTTAATTTTCTCTTTCTATGGAATCATGCAGGTGAAGTGTCACCTCCAGAAAGTTCCATACTGTACCTTTAAACATTTTATGATTGTTTTTGTGATTTGAACAATACTTCTATTTCTATGTTTTATGTTTCCTATTCTGTTCCATTAGAATTTATTCACCCTCATTTTGGCTTTATTGAAATGCAGCTCTTGATCAGTATTGGCTGACTATTGGCAGTTCTCATGCTCTCAAAACAGCTGCTGGTATGGATCATCACGTCTGTGTCATAGGCGTGATTCCTAATGCAATACTTGTTATTTGCCTGTTCTGTGGATCACATCTGATGTTTTAGCACAACCTGCAGCTCTTGGTCTGTGTTAACGCACTTGCCCACATGTTATCTGATTTACTGTCAGGTTGGTTGTGGGTCTCTTAAAACCTGGCGCTCCTAGCAATGAGCATTGATCTATTACTAGCCAATAAATCAGCTTTTATGTAACCCTAAGAATGCATCTGGAGTGGCCTCAACAGATGTCTTGTCAATGCACACATCAGTTGAGTAATGTGGTGCTTTTTGTTCATTGTTGTCAGATACTGAGCAGGCATGGACAGCACATCGAAAAATGGATAATATAGCAATTGTAGTTCTGAAGATGTGCAGAATTAGTATTTTGTCTATAAATAAAAACATAAAAACATACTAGAATCTCCCAATGTTAATTTGTACCTCTTCTCATTTGTGAAACTGGTATTGCAATTGGTATTGCACAAAACATTAATAATACCAGTTGTGCAGTATGAAGACATTTAAAGCTCCTATATATGTAAAATTTACTCTTGTGAGCTTTAAGCCATGTTAGAATTGTATTTCCTCATCAGAAACATACTTGGAGCTGTGATTTGTTTCATTCACATGTTTGAGTAACATTTTATTATTAGTCTGTCTACATCTCCAAAGCTCAAAATGCTCTGTTCCACCTTGTGTTGTCATATAGTGGCTGTTTTCATGTTAACAGCTACCTTTTACTTTTTGTTCAGTAGAGACTAGCAATTTCACATCTGAAATTATTTAAATTATTCTAGTGAAGGTGTATGCAGTTTACCAATGGACTGTTTCCTGTATTTTTTTAAATTTTATTTTAAGAGAAGAACTAAATATGAAACAAAACACCCTAGGTATGCTTTAGTGAGGAAACAACATATATCAGAAAATTGTGTTATATAAGCCCTTTAAGGCACATTTAGCACATTCCAGATGCATTGTTAAAATATTGTTTGAATATTTGGATTGAGATAATGCAAAAAAAAATATTGAAATATTCATTTTTGCCAATATCCCCCACCCCTAATACTGAGTGATGCCCACAATTGACTGAAAGAAAAAAAAAAGATAATACTTAAACTGTAATTGCATTATTTATGAGAATGAACTGCTGTGAGATTTAAAAAAAAAAAAAAAAAAAGTTGGTCTTTTTGAATTGACTCTGGGCGGCCTCTTCTTGCTTGGAAGCCTTTTCATATTCAGTTAGCATTACCTGATCCAGTCTACTCACTCATTGATGAACTCAGTCATGCTTGGTTTGACCCTGATTAGAATCATTAGCTGAGATTTCTGTCTTCTTTTACAGTAGCTGTCCTATTATCTTGGTGGGTCATCGTTCCTTACCTTTTCAGAAGAGGACTAATAAAATCACTATCTTGCAGGCTTTTCCACTGTGGAAATGAGTTTCAAAGCAATTTGGGCATGTCACCCCCAGGAGAGAGTTGATATTGATTTGCCATGAACTACCACCGGGATCTGAAAGGAAAAGGCCAATTTATCTACTACAAATGTGAAAACTCTGAGAGAAATCACATCTTTCTAAATACTTGACCTAGTTTGTGTCACACAGGCCTCCAGTGTCTACCATCTTATCTACACATTCTCAGAGCTATGCTTTAGGCCACTGCCCAAATTCTGGCTTTCTCCACATAATGTAGATTATGAATGGAGGTGAATGAGCTGTAACCTGTTGGTTAAAACTAATTCTTATATATTCTATTGTATTGTAAGTGGAGTGTTTCAGTCTGCTTGAACCCCCTTCCATTCTCTGGCTTTTAAGACTGTGAGAGGTGTGTTTAAATGTTTAAAAACTTATTTATTGCTATTTTACAGTTTTGTTTTTACTTTATATGACTGTTGTGATTTTTTTTTTTTTTTTTACAAATAATATCAAGTAATATCAAAGCATGTACCTTTTTGTTATAAGAAGAAATCATATCACTGGGGTTGAAATAATATCACTACTGATAATATGATTTGACTTTTATTCTCTGAGATAGTAAGGAATTATTATTACTAACCGACTAACTGTTTACTTTGGTTAATGCCTTTTACAGAATGACACGTGGGGACAGCAGTACTCCTACGCACTTTTCAAAGCTATGAGCCACATGCTGTGTATCGGGTATGGCATGTACCCCCCAGTGGGCATGACAGACGTGTGGCTCACCATCCTCAGCATGATTGTGGGTGCTACCTGCTATGCCATGTTTGTGGGCCACGCCACCGCCCTAATCCAGTCACTGGACTCATCTCGACGCCAATACCAGGAGAAGGCAAGTCTGAACCATATGCTTGTTGTTGTTGTTTTTAAAGGGCAGTAAACTGGTCGATGATGGTAAAGTGAAGATAGATATTTATGTGAATCTGGCAAAGGTGTTGTTGTGTATGTCTACGATTAAAAGTAGTAAGTAAAGACAAATAAATATTACACAAATGTATTTTGGTTTGGTGTAGCTGTACTATGCAGTCAACATAATACAGCATGGATTTTTCATATAATAGGGTAATTTCAGGAGCCGTCTAAGAAACATGTTTTTTTTTTGTAAACCAGAAGAAAGTGATATCCCACAGCTTTTCATAACAATATTGCTACCAAAATATGGACATTCTTACAATAATGCAGTGGGGTTTATTGGTTAAAGTATAGACAGATAGTATAAGTTCTCAGTCACCCCCTTTTAAAGTTTATGTCCTTTAAAGAAAGACAGGAATTATCTTGATGATATCCCATGTATCCAGTGGGTTGTGGAGAACGGAACCCCAGTCTCCTGTGTTCTCAGGGCTTAATGCTCTGACAGCTGCTTGTAATGGCTGATCCGTGTTCCTGGGTGCCATGCCCTCTCCAGCCCCAGCATGGGCGATAATGAGCTGCTAGGCTGCAATATTGGCTATGTCTGCGGGGATGAAAGGATGGGAAGATTTGACATCCAGGTAATGGAGCCACAAACTCACTAGATACCAACAAAATGAATAACACAGAGCAGATTGAGGTGTGAAACAAGTACATTTGGGGAGAGATTAACTCAAGCCTGATGCATTTTACAAACCTGAGATGTGCAGCAAAAAGACTGACTGTCTGCCAAATTTCTAGCTGCTGAATCAGTGCGTGTAAATCCCAAATTGGGTCCATGATTAATACAGCTAATCTCTGTGGATATTAAATGGAAAGCAGAGTAAAAGGACAGCCTGTTGGTTGCTCTTTTTTAGAGATGCTGTACTGCCAACTTGTTTGAACAGCTGGTCTGTGTCAGTTCCCATCAGGACTTGCTACCAAAGCCATTTGCTCCTGATTCTGGGATCAGTCCCTGAGGAGCCTGAGAATCCCCTCTCTGTGCAGAGGGTCCTCTGTGCCCATGGCTTCACATGCTGCTGTCTGTAGAAAGGTTATTACAGCACACTGCAATTAATTTCTAAGAGTGCAGATTCTCCTTTATCATTTGGCATGCAGAGCTGATGTTCAGGTACTTGTTAGATTTTGATTGGAGAAACCCCTTTGGGAGAGACCACTGATGAAAGGCAATCTGTGTGAAGATCTGTGAACTGTTGTGACTAGAGAGGAGGAAGGGTAAAATAAAGCTTGGGTCTCAAAGATGGTGGAAATGATAATCAAAAAGCCTGGGTAATCTTTTCTGAATAGATTTGTATTAGAATGTGGCACCATGTTATAAATGCCTTGGCTGTCAGAAGCTAGCAAGCAGGCTAAAATGGGGTCTTAAATATGAATCAGACAGTCTGTTAACTGCTATACAAAAAAGCAGAAATCATGCAAAATATTAGAGGTTGAAGGGTCCTGCTGAGAGGAAAAATAGCTTTATTAACTTGATTCTACTTTGGTGGAATTAACTTTATAGTCAGTTTGATCTGACATTTTGGTATCAGTTTTAGATGTTCCTTTGAGGTTCATTGTTAAATGTTCCATGTTCTGATGCGAGGTTCGCTACTCTTGATACATGGACCATGCATTAACCTTGCATTATTAAGTAATATATGATATTCCCAAAAATAACTTGAAAAACATACATTCTTATTCTTAGCAAGGTAGCCTCTCCACAGATCTGACTTGCTACTCTCCATAGAGACAATCTAATGCCATACTGTGGAGAATTCTAGACAGCAAAACTGTGTAAATCCTTGCCACTTAAATGCAGTACAAATAGAAATGATTACTGCTAACAAAGCAGTTTTATTATCGCTTCAATGTTGTGTGTTGTTGTTGGGTAAAATTATACACCCATGGAACACTAGTGAGTAGCGTGTCATGACATGTTTGTCCCAAAAGACTTCAAAAAGAAAATGGCATAGCATGACATAGCTCCTCCCATTTCAAGCTCTAATTAACACTTTGTAATTAAACACTGCTCTTGTGGGGATAGATAATAAGGCCCAAAACTAATTGTTAGTGGGTGAAAAGATCACTTTCGCTTCTTCCTTTTTTGATTCCCAACTTTTTCAAGGGCATATGGACTGTTTTTTTTGTTTTTGTTTTTAATTCTCTAAAAGTTATTCTTTCTAAATGGATAAACATGTTCCTTAGTTTTTAAATTATGCAATCAGTCTCTGAAAAGATATTGTTAATGAAAGTGGGAAATGCCTGTGTTTCCCTGAATGATTGCCTCATAGATGGAGCCAAGGACATAGCTGTCAACAAGTGCAGGAGCTTAATTCTGATTGTGCTTTACAGTGAGAGCTGTTCTCATTAGTCAGGACTTGACCGATGGCACTAATCCAGACACGGTAATATTATTTTTATATTCTGCGGCAGCCATAACTTTTACTTATGACTCAACAGAAGAAGTACCTTTCAAGTAAAAGTTTCAAGGCATTTGGACTTAAAGCAAAACTAAACACAAAATCCACTTTTTTGTGTGTGTATATAGCTTTATCCACTGTCATTTTTTGGCAACTTAAATACAAACTAGGTACATTTGCAGCTTTCTGATAAAAAAAAAAAAGTGCTGCCTTCATTGGCCACTGCAATTTACAGTAGTTGGTGACATTAAGACTTTTCTGATTACAAAGAGCTGGTTGCAGGAGCGAAGTTTGAAGTGTGTATACCTGTTAGACCAATCACAGTGCTTTGTATACGTAGACCCCGCCCCTCCTCTTCTCTCACTCTTTTCTTTAGATCTCCAGGTACTGTTCAGTTTAGCAGCTCCATGTGGTTGTGGGTGAATCTTAAAGTACCAGTTTTAAGGAGAGTTTATAAAGCAGACAAATAATCTAATAATCTAACCTCTGGGAAGGTCGGTGAATCAACAAAAAACTGTGGTGAGCATAACAAACATTTACTATATACAAAAGGGGTTTGTATTCAGGTGACTTTCTTTTCTTTTACTGAATAATTCATATGGTGTAGCTTGTTATTCAAACCTCAAGAATGTTAAAAATAGATAAACAAATAGAGTTTAATCAAACAAAATAGCGAGAAAGAGATAAAAGATCTGTTACACGTTAAGATGGTTAAGATAGTAGAGAACTGTCACCTTTGTGATTGTGTATTCTCGCAAAGGTATGATCAGTCACCCACATAAACTGCCTGTTGCAATTTACTGTATTCTGAGCTGGGACACAGTGTACTCACTCCACAACACTAACAGACTGTAAAGCCCATTCTCCTTCACAGCTACGATCAGTACGTTTATAAGAGAGTAAATACACCTTGGGAAATTAATATGTAATGCTAACTTATACAATAATTAGAGTTTTGATAACATAAACTGTCACCTTTCCTAAACTTTTGGATAGATTTTGACCTAGACTTAGATATTTGGGCTATAAATCTTCATCTAAAATGCATGGAGGTTTCATGGTGGAATGATTAGACTTCTGATAATGAAGGCGGTTTAAATATGCCAAGTAGAGCGACAATTGACAAGGACTCGAAAGCCGAAAGATCATTCATTGCACATAAGATTTTATCTGCCTATCATGGCATTAGCAGAAGCCCTTTAAACACGCCCATAATTAGTAAGTGACATACATTCTACAACTCCTCCCAGCATAATTATTTAATCTATTTCTCCCGGATGAAACTCACTCGTCTCTTGAAACACCGCACCCTGCTGTGCCATGTCAGATTTAATAGACATACAGATTTGAGATTCATAATTTGAGTTATACCTGTCAACTCCATTGCTAGATCAGATAAGAAATCTTGATATCGGTACAAAAGCAAGTACCAAGTACCAGTGTTTTGTGTGCAATATTGATCTAAAAACAGCCTAATGAAACAAACTGGTCCACTTACCTCTCATTCAAATATGAGATGCCTCTTCATAGTGGCATTTTCATTGTCACAAGCAGCAGATTTTCATTTGCATGCTTTAACTGTTGGAAAGGCGTGACATTTGTGAATGCTACATGTATGACCCAGAGTCTTTTTTTTTTTTTTTTTTTTTTACAATAATTGCAAATAAGTATGGAGCAATGGGCGGGAATAGTGGATAGGTGAAAACTTTGAAAACAGGATAATACAGGATTACTCAAACATTAATCAATTGAACTACAACTTTGAGAAAGCTAATGGGGGGAACTGGGTTATAACTTTTTACATTTTACATGAATGAATCCCCTTTAAGTAATAGTTTAGAAATTATTAAACAAAGTGTGCAGTGTGTCAGTGGGTCAAGATATAGTGACTGCCACCTGAAAGCCCTCCCCTATACCTTTTGGTATTGTACTGTATATCTTGCTGATGTACAGTCCCTAGTGTAATCCTAGCGTGAGTTTAATATTAACTCTCACATGCTCTGATTTTGAAAAGCCCTGACAGTATTTCCACTCCTGCAAAAACAATGTGACTCGCACAAGACAGCTGTCCGTATTTATTGTGTAAGATTTCCACAAGACCAGCCTTTTGATGATCATTCCTGGGATGAGTAGTGACTGTGGTAGTGGAGTGGTAGAACAAAGGAGGAGACATCTAAGGTCAGCCGCGTTGGTACATGTGGTGGGTGTTGCCAGTGTAGTAATGATGATCAAAGTATACCTCCTTTGCTAAGTGAATGGTTAATTTTTCCCTTTTTCATCTCTTTATTTTTTGAGGGTCAAGGATTGTACCTCTTAGTATTCCCAAGGTGCTCTTGCGCTGCTTTAATCTGCATATATGATGCAGAATGTAAATTAGCACTACCAAGTCTCGTCACATCATGGCCATTAATGCAAATATACTCAAGCAAAGCAACTATTGCATTTTTATATTTTGAATAAAAAATAGAAAAAGTTTCATTTTGTGACAGGCTGCATAATGACAGCTAAAAAGCTAAATCTGCCATTGAATTTTGACTTGTTCTCCCTCCCAGTTTTAAAATATGGGCAGTTTAGAATGTCAGGACATCCAGCTTATTAATGTATGTCACAGCCCACATTTATGCTTTGCCCAAATGGAACTCCACCCAAGAACTACATACTGGAATAGCCTATAAATCTGTGCAGCCCTTTATATAAATTTTTTTAAATAACCCTGGTCCTTCTTGTTTGTGTGTCCACAGTATAAACAGGTGGAGCAGTACATGTCTTTTCACAAGCTGCCCGCTGATATGAGGCAGAGAATCCATGACTACTATGAGCATCGTTACCAAGGCAAGATGTTTGACGAGGAAAGCATCCTGGGAGAGCTGAACGAGCCACTCCGAGAGGTGAGAAAAGCCCCAGTTACAATCTTTTCTTTGAATTCTAACACATAATAGCTTCTCATTGTTTGACTTTCAATGAAACACTATTGTATTCTCCCTTTATTCTGATTTTCTTATGCAGGAAATCATCAACTTTAACTGTCGAAAACTAGTAGCGTCCATGCCACTGTTTGCTAATGCAGATCCAAACTTTGTCACTTCCATGCTGACGAAGCTCAAGTTTGAGGTGTTTCAACCTGGAGATTACATCATCAGGGAGGGTACCATCGGCAAAAAGATGTACTTTATTCAGCACGGTGTTGTCAGTGTGCTAACCAAGGGCAATAAAGAGACTAAACTGTCAGACGGATCCTACTTTGGAGGTAAGATGATCTGACAAAAGTCACAAACCTTGTTTACACACTTTTTTCAATAATTATTTTTATCAAAAGATTAGCAAGGACAAAGAAATAAGGAATAGCATAATCTTTATGTGTGAGCAGCGTACTTGTAAAAGCCACAGTAGCCATGAACCATTACTATAGACATTTTTGAGGAAGAAAAGCCACAAAGCCATAAAGTTTCAGTGCATGCTCTGAGATATCTGAATTTGTGTTTTCTGTTACCACATCTCTCACTTGCTTGGTAAGTGAAAAATATGCTAACACTGTGAACAGATATTGCATTTTTAAACAGAAGGATTCTATAATTTTGAATGTTAGTTTGTGTAACAAGGCAGCAAATAGGTTTCTATTTTGCTTCCAAATGCGGCCCCAGTTCCTTTTTTTTTTTTACATTTTTTCTTTCGGACACCAACCCAAGTCTGTATAGTCTAGCTACCCACATCAAAAAACTAATGTCAGAGTGTATGAATGTGTACTTTTGAAATGAGATAATCCGGAGCACTATGTTGCAGTTAATCAGGGTCAGTTAATGCCTGCCCTTTTCACAGCCTCACGACCTATGACACATGTAGCACACACTGCTGCCATAATGCCCTCACCAAATACCAATTCATTTGCCCAGTGACAGCGTATCATTTAGACTACTCCACTAAGTACTATGAAGAATAGTGGCATAGCATTTAACATCACATGACCCGTCTGTGGAAGTTTAATTAGGACTTGCTGTCTCAAGTCCATCTTCATGCCCTCTCTCATGGGGTTCCACAGGAATAATGAAAAGATGGCAGCCAATCTCAGATCTCCACACATGCCCGGGCTAATCAGCACTTTAGACAACACATCCTTGGCTTCCTCCCGGGCTATGTTGTCTCAAATGGTATCCAAAATGTTCCTCGATCAGTCTCTACTTAAAAAAGCCGTCAATCATGTCTAAACTAGTACCTTCTAGTGTTGAGCAGGAAATAATACATCTTTGTCCTGAAAAATGCAGTTTTGATGGTACTTTCTTCTTTTTTTGTTCTTCTAATTTTGGCTTCTTTTCATTTTGATTCTTTTTTATACATGCACTCCATGTAGTTTTTCCTTTTATAGGCAATTGTGTTTGAATATAGTGGAGAAAACCTGCAAAAATGCATTGCATTATGTCCTACTACTTGACTTTTACCTTTCAGTTGCCTCTGTTCCTGAATTTTGAAAATTCTGATAATTGCATTTTACAGGTCTTCTATAGGCCTACTATACCATAGAAGGATGTGTATTTTTCTTCACTCATATGCATTAGAGATGCAAGACTTCTTCTCCATTAGGCTGTGACTATTTATGGTAGTGGTACTCCTCTGAGGGTGTGAGGAGAGAGATGAGTGAGGTAAGCTGGGAGCCATTCGGAGTTTGTTACCCAACATGAAGTTGTCATTCATGAAATGAATTGGTGCAAGATCAGCAAATGCAGCATGTACCACATGTTGATCCTCAGTAAGACTGTCAGTAATAGTAAACAGGAAATTATAAACACAGACTTTTTTTTTTTTTCTTACAGTTGGACCTGTTAATGATTTGTAAGCCAAAGCTGCCCAGTCATATTCACTTGTCTCACACTTTGAGCATGAGTGGGCGATGTGTATGCTTATCCTAGCATGCGCGTAGTGTAAATTGTTCATTTATATACTGTCTGAATAATTCATTTAAATGCACACTTACAATCTGCCTCTGAGAGAAGCTGTAGGGTCAGCTGGAGCTAGGGAGCACAGAGTCAAGTGGACACACCATGTTCTGATGGAAACATCAGCTGGGCACACAGAGATTCAGTGAAAGGGGGAAATGTAATGTGACTGCAGATCTGACGCCAAGGACACATGGAGCTGGGCCAGGCCCACTCTCTGCCCACTACTCTGGGAAGAGTGCCCCTTCCCTATGCTTATGCCCTCCTTATAGCTTCACAATGCAATACTTATCCAACCACTTTATCAATGAGCTCATTTTATCTATATTAAACTGTGTAGTCTATAGTAATATTTCATCTTGACTGTCTGCTTTTACTGGCGTGATGTAAGAGCACAAAGGTATAGTTTTCTCTTGGTTGGAGTAGTGCTCCCTGACCTTGCTGTGGCCTTCATGCCAGTCAGAGGTGCTTATCAAAACCAGTCTTTGATTTCACCTCTAAGATGGCTCCCACTGCTTTCCAGTGAGTGGCTTGTAACAGCTTTGTGAGAACAGAGGAAAGAGTGGGAGACTGGCAGGGAGATTGGGAAGGAGTTAAGAGGGAGTTGACTGCACAGTTGGTTATCTTCAGGGTCATGATTTAAGTTTTAGTCAGTCTTGGTTCTCAGTAAATGCACCACTTCTAATCCAGAGACTGGATCTTGTGTTAGAGTGTAATACCACTCCCTTTTGGCCCTTTTCATCTTGGCTTCCCTTCACCTTTTTCCTCCATGGACCCAGGAGGATGCTGTAATCTACAGAGCTGCCAAATAGGCACCTTAACACAGTCAAAGGGTCACAAACACCAAGTAATCCTACTGCTGCCCTTAACCTAGTTTTCATCAGGCTTTTCAGTCATGATAAATCATCTTCTGAGACTTTTATAATATGCTTAGTTATCCTTTTCTGCCCTTTCAGGCACATATTGGAATACAGACCAATATCTCAAACCATAGTAATCTGCATATGATAATAATAATAAAGAATGTATTAAATTATTAGGTGTAATTGTCCCTATTACCTTTAACATTTTTTTTTTTTTTTCAGTTCAGTTCAGTTCAGATGAGTTGTCTTAACTCAGCTGTTGGCAATCTTACTTGGACTGTTTTCACTTTCACTTGGTTCTGTGAATGAACACATTGTGCATGTGTGAGCTGCTGTGCATCAAAATCACCACATCTTTTTTCACCTGTGTGTGCGTGCTGGTCATATGTAAAGTCTTATGCTAATGCTCCGAGGGAGGGAGCAGCGCTTGTCTAGAGGAATCAGGCGCCCACCTCCAAAGGTTACAGAGTGTCCACTTGGCCAAAGGCGCTGGGGGAGGGGAGATGGGAGATGCTAGTAGGTCAGAGAGCTCAGGTGAGCCCTGCCAAATCACTGTGTGGGAATAAGACGAGTTATATCAAACATGGCAAGTGTGAAACTGATCAAAAGTAACAGGATTTACAGTACCCATATGCAGATAAATTGAGCTTGCAAAACTGCAGTATTTTTACTCCTTGTAGCTACTGACTACTCTGACTAAAATATAAAATGATTTCTCTAGATTAAGGGCGTCTACGTAGGGTCCATGAGGAATTCCAACTCTAAACTAGACAGTATAAAGAGTGAAGATATTTTTTCAGTTCTGCTATAGCAATGGATCTCACAAAAACTTTCATATCAGGAAGGAATTATTTACTTAGAACTAAGATTGCTGTACTGTACTTTGCCGTGAATTTAGTGAAGGCACTTAATTTAAATGTCAACGGTTACATGACTACACTAGAGTGGACAGAGGGCTCAGTACAGCTCACCACCTCATCTCGGCAGTAGTCTTGGCCTGGTCCAGAGAAACACAAAACAAGAGGATTTAATACAGAGTGCTGATGCTCCTCTTCAGAGGGGATTACTGGGACAGTGCTGTGGGAAATGGACCTCAGCCGTGCAGCTATAGCCAGGGCCGCCTGCTCTTCACACATCCACTGTACACACACCATCTTATCTCACACATCCAAGCTGCTCTCTTTTAAACTCCTGCCATCTATGATCTGTTCTATTCTGTTCTATTCCATTTAGCACACAGTATATCCCTACATGATGTTTTTCAGCTTATACCAAAGCTTTCCAGGTGATATTGCATTTATAGTTTGTGCCTTACCATTATTACCTTACCATTATCATTATTTGTCCAACCATCACACATGTATAGATTCCTTTCTTATCAGTGATCACAGAGATGCATATACCTGTACTGCTCAACACTTGTGGTGAATGATACAATTTTGTATATGGGTAGGTGGCACTGGACTGAAAAATCAATGAAACTAAAATTGACTGCACTAGAGAGACCAGTTCAAATTCTAAATAATGTTTTAAAATCAGGACTAATTTGCTCATGTAAAAAGAAAATGTAACCATTTTTTATTGTTACTTTGTCTCACAAGCTCCAGCTAACACACATTAAACTGCACATATGCTTAGTGACAGTAGAAAGGCAGGGAGAAGATTAAATACTTGTACTTACAAGCATCTGTCATGGTGGACAAGAGTAAGCATACACTGCTTCCGTCATTCTACTAACTCCCATAGAGCTGTCAGGTACAGCTATACTGTACAATGTGTGCCTGTTAAGGCTGTCAAAAATACTGCTACCAGATCCCTAGTAGATTCATGTTTTGGTCAGTTTCAGATCTCTACTGCTGCTACTATATTGGTTAAAATTTTGCAAATGGTTCAGTATTTGGTGTCCACTTTGGCATTAAAGAAGTTATAATAACAAACAATATTCTATTTAATGAGATTAGCTTGTTTTTATATTACAATTAAATCTCTTAAATATTACTAACATTTGAAAACTTTGTACAATAGATCTTAAGAATTCTGTGCTCCCGTCATTACCTAGTGTCCTGTTCTGTGTTACAGAGATCTGCCTGCTGACACGAGGCAGGCGTACAGCAAGTGTGCGAGCAGACACATACTGTCGCTTGTACTCCCTGTCTGTGGACAACTTTAATGAGGTGCTGGAGGAGTATCCCATGATGAGAAGAGCTTTTGAGACTGTTGCCCTGGACAGACTTGACCGCATTGGTGAGTCAAAGACAAAGGCAGCAAACAAATACAAACATACAAACAAACAAATAAAGAGAGTATGAGTCATTCAGTGATTTTATTTACATGTGTAGAATACATCTGCTATCTTGTCATGTTAACTACATTCTGGCTGAGGGTAGTGAAAGGATGGAGAAACAAAAGTGTAGCTTGATTCTACTATCTGTTTACAGAAATGGTAAAATATTATTTTTGGGTGAGCAGTATTTATCACATTGTTTATTCCTGTTCACACTAGGTGAGAAATGGCAGTTACAATTTGTGTTGTAAATTGTCTCATAAATGCTGAAGGGGAAGTTGTTAGAATCAGTTCAAAATCTCTTTAAAAATATAAAATTCTAAACTCTTCTTATTCCAGCCATTAGTCTTGCAACTTGACACACAGTTTCCACTAAATTGCACTAGGAAACAGTAGAACTGTTTTATATTCTTTTCTGTTTCCAGCCATGTTGTCTGTTTCCTTCTGTTGTTTTGCTATATTAACTTTTAATTCCTAAACTGTAAATTGACTATCTGCACTATCTAAACTGCACTATCTTCTTCTCTGACCTGTCCTTTCCCTTCTCTTTCTCTCTGTGCTATTAGGCAAGAAAAATTCAATCCTGCAGCACAAAGTACAGCATGACCTCAGCTCTGGTGTTCTCAACTACCAGGAGAATGAGATTATCCAGCAGATTGTACAACACGACAGGGACATGGCTCACTGTGCCCACCTATTGCAGAACGTCCCACCTCAGTCTCCTCCATCACCTACTCCAGTGATATGGGCTCCCCTCATCCAAGCACCACTCCAAGCTGCGGCTGCCACCACCTCTGTAGCAATAGCCCTTACGCACCATCCCCACCTTCCTCCAACACTCTTCAGACCCCCGGTTTCTGTCCTAGGGTCCCTTAAGGATCCCCCTAACAGACTGAAAAAACTCAACACTTTTGCACCCTCCTCCACTGCTCCTGGATCAGAAGGAGACTCTCCACCTGGTACACCCTCCAGAATGCGCAATGATGTTGACATGCCATTACTAGCCGCTTTTCGGGCCCAGCATATGATGTCAAATTTAGGTGGGACAAGCGCCAGTCAACCAGCAGCAAGCAGTGGAGGTCATCGTATGCCAAGTGGATCTGGTTCTGGCTCCAGTGGAGGTGGAGCTTCTGCCTTTGCCTTTGGACAATGTTCCATGTTTGGTTCCCCTTCGTCAAGTACAGCCCAGTTACATCCCCAGCCCCAGCGACAACAATCATTTCGCTCCAGCACGCCACCTCTATCTAATCTCTTCCACCAAGGGTCTATAAGTGGAAGCACAGGGTCAGGATTAAGTGGAGGGATGGCTGGCGCCTGTGGGGGAGTGTCAGGGTGGCCTCCAAGTGGAGCAGTTGGTGGGTCAGTTGAAGGGACCACTGGTGGAGATATAGTGTGGACAGCAGAGGACTTAATAGCAAAAGAGACATCTTCACTAGGGCATTTTGTATCAGGAGGAGCTTCTGCGGGGCTAACTGAAACCTCAGGAGAATCACTGGGATTGCCTGAAGGGACAGCACTATGTGTTACTACAAGACCAGAGAGGTCATCAGGGTCACAGGGAGGCTTTACATGTGGGCCAATTGGAGAGTTTACCAAGATACCACTGAGTGTGTCATCTAAAGCATCTCTAGCCTCAAATAATGGAGGATCATTAGGAAGGGTTTCTATTGGACCTATGGGATTGGCATCAGGGGGTTTCCCTGTAGGGGGCTCTGCTGGAGTGGTTTCTGGAGAATCAATGGTAGGATCTCTGGGAAGAGCATCTGGTGGATCAATATGCACCCATGTAGGAGGTAACATGGGAGCAGGGCAAACCAGCAAAGTACCAGGAGCAAGTGGAGGTTCTGTAACCTGTTCAGTCACTGTAACCTCCAGTGGAGTTACACATGGACTTATTCCATCTCGCTGTCAGAGTCCAATCTCTACTGCCTCGTCTAACCCTATGAGTGGGCAGCTACCACTCTGCCAGCCTCTTCCTAAGCCCCCTCAGGTGGCTCCTATCCATCAGCTGCCCAGTCTAGGTAGAACTACCAGTGGTTTGAACCTGTTTAACTCTCCTCCCAATGGCTCCCCTTCTTCTAACAGAGGACTGCACAGCCACCCACCACTTGACAGTTCTCCTTCGTCCCTCAGCCATTTTAACCTGGCAGGTCTGCAGTCTGGACTTTTGCCTCACCAGATGTCCCAGGAGAAATCTGCCTTGGCCTCCTTGGCACAGTACGGTTCTGCAAATGCTTCTCCCTGCCTTACCCCAGTGGCCCCCAGCCCAACCATTCAGAGCCCTGTTAGTGGCAGGACTTTCCACTACAGTGACCCCTCCAGTGCCATGGGATCCCACAGCTCTTTGCTCATGCCCCAGTCTCTATCTTCCCAGCATTCTAACCAGCCGCATACGCCTGGCAGAGATTCTCCTTTGGGGCGTTTTTCAGAGGACCTTAAGTTTTTATCCAGCTCCCACCCGTCCCTGCCCCAGGAGATGGCACAGGTCTGTGACCACCGTGCCACTCGCTCATCTTTTGACACTGGATATTTTCCTTCTCCTTTTTCATCCCCCACTCTTGTACCTAAACCATGCGGCACAGTCCCAGGTGGTCACGTAACGCCCCCTCCTCAGACTTCCCCCGGGCCCTCTCACCAGACTCTGTCCCCAGGGACCTCTCCTGCTGTGCCACCTCGAAGAGGCTCGGCTGTTTTCCCCTCAGAACTAGAACCTCAGACTGTGCGTTCTAAACTCCCTTCCAATTTGTGAGAGTTGTTCACGCCCTCCTCCTGTGCTTCTTCAGACTAAACTTTTCTTTTTCACCTGTCACCTCTCATTTTAACAGCTGTGATTTAGAAAAGACTTTGTTAAGTGACTTTGATATGTTGCATTATTTCATATATGTTAAATTATTTAATATATGGAGGGTGTGAAAATGTCTTTTCTCTCAATAATGATGCCAAATTTATCTGGAGCAGTTTTAGGATGCTTAATACTGGACTACACCATAAGTCTCTATTACTGCGGGAAACTATGCACTATATTTCACCTGCTTGTATAAAGTCTTTTATGTATTTAACATTTATTTATACACAACAACAGGTTTCGTGTCATCTGGGTTACACATTGATAATCTTCAAGCGTATCTATTAGATTGTAGTTATTTATCTTCTATATAAAAAAATGGGGGGAAGGAAAAGAGATTATAGGGGGGGGGGGGGGGGGGGGGTTCTAAATGGGTTCTTTTTGTAGTACTACATACTGTTTCTGATGCAGAGGGTGAGGGGTTAACCAACCTACCCTCCATGTTGTTACCGGGACATAACCACATGACAAGCTCACTTTGTCTTCCAAACTCATTCTGCTTAAGAGTGTTGAAAGCATATTTTATCCCTCTTCCTGACTGCGTGCAACTGTTAACGTGTGTGTGTTAGTGATGATAATATGTGAATCAATAGAACAGCCAGACAAAAAAGGGGAGTTTTTTTCTTTGAACTGAACTCAAGGGAGTTTGCCTTTTTCATACTAGTAATTAATTCCAGCTTGTGCATCATGTAGCCCTTAAACCATTCAAAATTCAATCAAATGACCACAATATACCAAACTCATTGCAAGCAAATACAAAACATAAGCTGAAATATCCAAAAAGTGCTGGCATTACTCCCAACTGTAGCTGCTATCTCTTCAGTAAGGACAATAGGTTTATTTGAGCTGTTGAATGTATGTGATTTTTGTTGGTGAGCTGTTTTATGTTTTCATGGCTTTGTGCCATAGTAGTTTATGAAATTCTTCTGTAACTAAAGAGGTCATTATATTATCGATAGTTATATTGATATGTTATATTATCAAAGGTAGAATACTTTTGTGCCAAAGTGTCCTTTAGCAAGACACAGGTCTACTACTATCCACATTTTATAACTGACTGGATATATGACAATAATCCATTCAAATTGCCTTAATCTTGCTGCTCTATACCTTCTTGTGTTTTCATAACCCACACTCATTTTATGTTATCAGTACATACATAATTCATGTTAGGGAATTCCTATGCACAGTGTACTGTTGGCACTATCACTATATTTCTTACCTAGTGGACAGAAATGCCAGTGGAAGGTATCGCTGTACTCCCAAAGGAGGCAGAGTCGTGAGATGGTCCTCTGTGTTTTTGTGCAGCTCATCAATGAGACAGACCCAGGTTTGGTTCAGACAGCTGAGTCCCCAACTCAGTCACAGCACTCAGCTATAGCAGCCTAATTTAACAAGACATGTCTGTAATCTCTTGACCCTGACAGGCTATCATGAGCTTGCACACAGAATTGGACAGTGACCATGCGCCCCCCTCGTCATGCTTCACACAAGTTTCTGCAATAACGTAAGGCAATATGTGGCAATATGTGCAAGTGCACCAATGGAAATGTAATGGAAATGGATCCTATCAAAGCTAATTTAAAACTAGTACTCAGGTCATTCTAGATATTTGTTTCATGGTCTTTCATGGTCTAGCAACAGTTCCCAGAAGTGGCAATAAATGTACCTGAAGGCTGTGATGGTCATTTTTAAGAGGTGATTAAAGGTTTAGATAATGAAAACTGAATATCTGAATGATCTATGTTTGATTATTAACCAGCAATCTCTATCTAGGCCTCTACATACATAAATAATTATGCGAATTACAAGGATGCCTAAAGGCTTTCATCTTAGAGTAAAATGTGTGCCAGGGCTTAAAGCCACACTAACCAGTGACTGATTATTTGAACCTAGGTTGGTCAATGATTACAGATAAGTGGTTTAGACGGGGTATGATGGGGAGCTGCTGTCAGTCACAACTTGGTTAAATATCAGGAAATCCCATGACAATTCTGATTAAAAACTATGAAAGCACATGAAAAAGTCTGCTTCTGGATTTCGTACCTAACAGAAATGGAAATGATACGATAATACCATATAATGTGTTACTACCATATATACTATACAGCAAAATGTGTCTTTAACAATACATCATCTATACATTTTCCACCCTTAGGCCCTATACAAGAATAACCAACACTGTGGTCAGTTTTGTTCAATCAGTTCAAAAGAACTGTTGGACTCACCTGTGTTTTGAACTGCCAAGTGGTTTCGTCTTTAAATCTTGTTTCTCAAAAGTGAGAAACTGCTCTGTTGTTTGACTTTGTAGCTGCAATCCAAAGCCAGCCTAAATCTACCTTATTTATGAGAGCTGCACATTATTTCCACATTGTGATTGGCCCTAATCTTACCCTTCATCTGAATTTGCACTGTCCAACTGACCTATGAATATTACTGGGTGAATCACTTATGCAGGCTAATGAAATCATTTACTGTGATTGAGGACTAGATGTAGCAGACACAGAACTGAACCTGCAATTTCTCCTGGGGGAATATGGCATGCATTTTTTCCCTAGTTATTCATTCATTGCTGCAGATCTCTACGATTACTCCCAGACTGTCAAGTTATTTTTGTCCCTCAGAATCAGGTGTTCTTTATGGCAATGCACCTCAGATATGTAAAGGTTGCCATGCGTGGCGCAAACGGGATGTGCATTGTTGTATGATCTAATGCAAATGACCTCTTTAGCTGCTGCCGGTAGTACTGAAATTTAAATAAAATTACAACAATATTTTTTTTTTGATAGCTTATAATGTAGCTAGGGGTTGACACGTTTTGAGAGACTATGGAAAGGTGCATAAGAATCCACTTTATGCAGGACACTAGCAGAAAGATCCTTTGGGGTAACATGCGTGTGCGAGATAAATGGCTTTCTATGCGTGGCTATTATTATTTTATGATGTTTTTCCATAGGCAGAAGAGCTACGTACATTTGTATAGCAAATGTGAAACTTTGATGCGGTTCAGAAGCCAAAGGGCTGTTCAAAAGCTGTCTGAAAAATATATTTGTTTTGTAAATCTGTCTTTGAGTTGTATAAGTATGTATTATAATTCGACTTAATCTAATGTTGGAATCATAATACGGTATCTATATGAATTTATATACTGTGTTTCCATAGGACCTATTTAAAATATTTAGTTTTTTTTATTTTAAGATGTCCACCAGATTATGTGTGTATAGATAATTTGTCCATGTTTAAGTGAATTGTTTTGCCTATGTATAATCCTAGTACTGTGGTGCAGGATTGGAGCATTTCCTTTGTACTCTAAACCAAGGCATCCATGAAGGCAGCATCTGGTTTGACACTTCTTATATGGATATACCCAATCTTCAGAGGAGGACTATGTTCTGACTGTTTGGATATCAATCTATTTTTTCTGCAATTTATCAAGAGAACTATGGACGGGAAAAAAAGCAATAAGGAAACTGTACAGGTGCGCTGTGATTGGATGTGTAACCCCACAGGACACTGCGCTGACCTACACAATAACCACAGGCTGGTCGCTGTGGCTCAGATGTGATGTGGCAGTGACAGAAGCGAGGCAAGTGTATGCCAATAAGCACATATGGCTACAATAAAACACTATAGAATAAACAATGAATGTGTATGTCTTTTCAAAACAAGTACGATGCACAAGTTTGTTTTAGTTCTTCATGTGGAAGGCATACTAACTACAGTGCAAAAATTATTTCAAGCTTATCCGTTTTCTTCCCTCTATTCAGAGGAAATGTTTTTGAAACAAACTGCTGTTTTAGTCGTGGGATTATAACTCAAAGAATATACCAAAAGCAGACATGTCATATTTAGGTTGAGTACTGATGTATTTGAGTTACTGATATGTGCCTGAACTAGGACAGAGCAATTAATCAATTTTAATTGAAACTAAGATTCAGTCATGTCTAATAATTAAAGATAAGATTTTAAAGTGAGAGCTCCGGTCAATCCTCTGTCAGTAAAAGCACGTGGTTTGGAGCAGGCCTTTTTTAATGGTAAGTGGTTAAAAGTATGCATTTGCATATGTTCAGAAAATTCATACTGAAAGACATTTTTATTTCTTTTTATAAGGCAAAATATACAACCATAATTGATGAGGAAAAAATGTGATTCATCTTCCAGCCCTGGGCTGTACCAGAAGACCTTCACTGTATGTCTCAGGTTATACACTACTGATAATCCTAATAGTAGTATAGTGTGTTCTGCTCCAGCACATCCTGTCCTATTAAAGCATTAATGATAGATGTTTTCCCATAAACTTTGTATGTGACCTTCCCGTAGACGTCCTTTCCCCTCAGAATTATCCAGCATTTCAGAGTTCCTCCTTAACAGCTGTCCATAATTAAGAACTGACCGTGGAATCCCCAAAGTGACACTGATCGAACGTGCACTTGACGCTGTTGCAGCTATCCCATCAATCAAAATCTTGACACATATTATTCAGAAAAATAACTTTTACTTTCCATCTCTATTGAACTTAAGATAAAAAGTAGCTGTTAACTTGAAAAGTACAGCTTCATGAAATCACAAGGTGGAGCAGAGAATTTTGAGATTTGGAGAGGTAGACAGACTAATAATAAAGGGTTTGTGAATGAAATAAAACACAACTCCATGTATTTATTTATTTTTTTTTTTTTTGAGGAGGCAGCATTATAACTTAAGGATTAAATCTTAAGAACACATTTTGTGTAATTTAAGTTCTCCTGACTTACTATAGACATTGTTAAATTGCTATTTTACTTGCATTGCCTGAGGCTGGAATGTTCCATAGTATCACATTAAACTTGGGTTTATTCAAATCCACAATTTTAGATTTTTTTAAAGAAACACTTAGAAAAACATACCCTCTCCCTGTGAGCTGCTTG